CCAGGCCTTTTCGTGCCGAGAGCCAGTTGTCCCATGGAGCGCCAAAAGACGATGCTTAAGTAAATATCAAAACATATAAGGAGTTAAGCATTCTTTCATAATTCTGTCTTATAGCTGAACGTTTGTCTTTGTCTTACTATATCGATTGGTATAAGCAACTCTTTATTTTGTTTATTTGCTTCTAATCAGCCTCTACGATTAGCATGAAGGGGTTTTTACAGATTCGAACATTGGCGGAACAGAAACAACTGCATATTTGTCTCCTACATCCCATGCCTGTTATGCGAATATTAGCTGACTAATTGAAAGTACCATTTTTTTATTCTGAAAAAGCAGTATATTTTCTTTATTTAATTAGTGCTTCAGGCAGTCCTTTGCACCTCATCTCGAAGTTGTGTATATGCAAATTTTCTCTGGGGAGTTCCTCGCCTTAAATATGATTAGGAGATGGTGGCGTTACTTAAATATTGAATAAAGTACTACCGATGGTTTAGTGGTATTTTCATAGGTCTGTCCTAGATTTCGATGAATGAAGACTTCCAAAACAGTTAATAGCATTGTTACCCTATAAAGTAAGAATTTTAAATGGCTTCCTTCTTTCTACTGAGCATTTACATAAGTAAAAATTATATAATAAAAAGTATATTATGAAATTTATTATCAAAAAAGATACATTTATACAGTGTAACTTCGATATATATGCTGTTAGCTAACGTTCTTCATTTAGGATTAACGTTCGTCTGCGACTGTGTGCAGCAACTCATCGTATTCGATAAGTTATAAAAAGTTGTGCGACACCATTTAGATCTAGCGTTGTGGTGTCGCCCCGCCCCCGTGTTAATAGCCCCGCCGTAACCGTCGGCTATTTTTATACAGGTTCGAGTTCACTTGATTGCAGAAACAAACAACAGAGCTTGCTGCAAGTTGTTTGTATTCGATATTGCCAATGCTGCGCCAGCAGTCGCCTTGTGGCAGAAAGGCGCCTTGAGCCGTAACGTAACGGTCATAGAAGTTCTCCTTCGCTCCTGATTTGGTGCATGAGGATACGGATTATATGAAATTGCGAAATAGCATATCATCATAACATATAATTATACGAATATTAATGAGAACTGCATTATCTGTGCTTGATAGTAGATAGTTTATTTTAAGTGTTTATTGTATGTGTAAAAAGATTATTGTAAAAGAGACTATATTTTGCAAGTGACCAAGTTTGGTTTCCGTTTAACATTAATTAACAATTTTCTACAAGTGTTGCTGGGCTACCAGCTAAACGATTTTATCTGTTATCTAAACTTGGGCTGTACTGTCGCTATAGCTACCTGATCGCTGTTAATATCGCTACCAAAAGATAAACATTAGATATATAGTCTGCGTCATATGAGTTCTTGAATAAACAAGATGGTGTTCTTGTGACAAACCGTACACAGTTTATCTATCCATTTCTCAAAAACGACTTTAAGATAGGATGGTTCATTGCGACAGAGGTCTGTACCCATTGCAGACTTTACAAAGCAGTAACATTATTTACGGAAACATAGTCAATCGAAATAGGAGACAGAAAACAGCGGTATAAATGCGAGTACGATATTTCAGAAGTGCGGAGTGCAGTACTGTTGTACTGCGCATTAGTCTTGGCAGAAATCGAGATCGAACAAAGTGAAATCTGCAATGGATGGCTAAACGAGAAAATGTCTGAGCGTATTTTGGAGCAGAAAGGCGGGAGGTTAAAAAGCAAGCAAGAAAAATTGATCAGGCTTAGCTAAGGGAAACTCATTTGTCGCTATTGGCAGACTCGGGAGCATATTATTAGCAACAGCGGAGGTGGACGCCGGAGTACAATCGATGCCTTCAACATGAAAGAGAACATGTGATCCACGTTGCAGTCGCTAACAAACGGGAGTATACGGAGCGTCGTCAGGATACTAAAAGCACGTATTATATGCGTTACTATAAAAATACGCATTACCGTTTACGCGTTTAACGCTAGTACACATGGCGTCGTCGCAGTCTGTCTGAATATCCGCCGAAGTTTGCTCAAAGGAAGCTACTTTTGTTTAACAAATTCCTGTACCAATTAAGCCCTCAGACTTAACAAGCTGTGGATTATATTACACAGTGTATCGAAGTTCATTCAGTAGTACACCTGATTACAAACAAGTGCGCCAGTAAGCATTCAAGTTCTACCAATGTAACTGCCGTGACTTTGTGTCAATTTAACTGTTCATAAACTCGTCGAAAACGAAGCTTTCTTGAAGCTCGATCCTTTGCCTCACCAGCCTTGACTTAACAATAAATATAAATGACGAGGACGAACGAAAACTATCAACCGATTTTTCAGCATTTAGCAGCCTTAGCTACAGGCCTGGCACCTGTCTAGACTTGAGTCTGAGCTAACATTTAGCTGTTGCAGTCGGCTAATTAGTAACTTGCCTTGCACAAATAAAAAACTTAAATTTTTCGGTCAGAATATGTCGCCAAGCACTCACAGACTGAAGCATAGTTAATACGCTGTGTTTGTATGACTTGTCGCCAATAGTCTCGGTGGAATAAGTTCCTGAAGCTATAGAACCTGCTATCATTTCCGCGTAACGGTAACACACGATCTTATCGAGAATAACAATGGACGCGTTTAACAAAAGCCTATAGTTCTATATGATATTAGGTCAAAAGATTTCATTAGTTTTCAGTGGTGGCCACAATAAATAGCGGAATGCATTTAAACTCCGTCAGAGCTCAAGTCGTCGTAATGTTTGTTTGGTGCGTCGTGGACCTGTTGCTTCAAACGTCGTCTGCAGATTTGGTACATCAGGACAAGTGTTTCGAGCCAATGGTACGGTCTGAGTGTCCAACAAGCTGGTCATATGTTGCTTTGCATAAATGCAAGCTTATTTTCAAACATACCTATCGCTCGGTATGATAGATAAGTGCATTTTATTAGCGAAATCACCATATTAAAAACAACATCCATGAACACCAATTTCTTGCGTCTGTTCAGAACTGAAAGGTTCCTAGCTACAAGAAACAGTCCGTGTAAAAAGATCCTATAAAGGAAGAGGAAAGAAATAGTACATCTGTTACTCGTCACCTTTACCGCTCGTTGCAGTCAATAAAATCAATTTTGGAGGTAAACTAATCAAATTTACTTTACTTCCAGTAATATGAAATTGATACTTCAGCTGAAACTTATTGTTTTTACGATAGTAAGCTACCGAGCGCCACTTTCTCCGCATGTCACGCCTAGCCTATTCAGAAACAAACCTTAGGCAGATATGGTAATCGGACACAACCGCGAAGTAGGATGCAGCGGTTACCGATGCATAGACGTCGCTGTGTGGTGCCATTTTGCGTTCGGCGAGAAATGGTGCCGGAGTCAACGCCCCGATGTTAACATACTTTGCTTTTGCGACAGCAACTGCTACAGATTGGACGAGAGCGGTCTCCGCTACACATACATACTCACCATTCTAAAGGGCTTTGACCGAAGACCAAAGATCCAAGGACAATGAACGGCTAAGAAACTCAAATTGTCGAGAACAAGAAAAAAATGATGTTGAATACTAGCGCAATGTAAGAATGATAAGTTCGTCCGAACCGCTGTACTAAGTTCTGGTGCGACCTTTGAATTGGGCTTCGTTTTTTCACTATGCCCAATTCGGTCGGAATTGCGCTTGTTTTTCCATCTGGATTGCCAATACCCAGTGAACTTTCACACTTAGTCCTTTTGTATAGAAAATCAATAACGTTAAATTGAATATATGGGCATAAGCCATACGTCCCGCTAATTTCGTTGGTGTTGTCACAGATACTTATGACCCTCTCATATATATATATATAAGAGAAATGGTCTAGCCTATGTGGCGAAAACATTCGGTAAATCTGAACGCTTTAGCGTTAATAATAGTGATAATACGAATCACTGAAGTTCTTCACTGGATAAATTCCCTTTTTGAGTGCCTTAAGTATATAGAAAGCTACTACAATCGGTTTAATGCTTTTAGTGTAAATTTGTTTCAAAATAGAAAAGTGCACTGGAATCCGATTTAAAACGAAGAACAGTTAGATGATACCCAGTATTGTTTTTTTGTGATGTTATTTTCGCTTGTTTATGCTGCCGCTGTACCGAATAAAACCCTCAGCGATGGTATCGTAATTAAATTTAACACTCTAGTCTACATTTCAAGATGTTTTACCGAATATAATTGCTAGAACAAGTAAATACTTTGTTGCTCTATATCTTGGAGTGTTATTTACGAACCTGAATTCACGGTTCATTCCCGGATTCCCTAACTAATATCTAGAGTGATCTGACGCACTGGTTCTGCTTAGTTTTAGGTCCGAATTTTCCGCGCATTATTATAAAAAAAAAACATAATTCCCTTAATATTTTCTAAATTGTGCATCAAAAAAGCCCATCTTTTTTCCATCCAAACGCCCATTGTTTGTTTACACTTAAAAGTCTTAAACAAATAGTACACTGCAGACTTCAAGTGATAGGCATCAGTTGCACATGCACGCTTCTAGTGCTAATTACTCCTTATCCGAAATACTCTACCTGAATTTTTTAATAATATCCACTGCAGTATTCGGTGAAGTAACAAAAAAAACTCTTAACAACTATTTTCTATTTCCTGGCTACGTTGGCTTCAGATACGCTAGCCGAGGCTACTCGTGGTATCTATGCCTTGTTGCAGGTTAATAAATACCTGAATCCCACGATTCGTATCTTACGACTCCCATATAAGGTTCCTTTGGTAATAATAAAATAGTAGTTTTTACGTTATTCGCAACTGACCGCGGTAGGAACCAAGTAAAAAAACAAATGTGTACGCTTCGTAATTTTGGCAAACGGTTTCATGTGTTTTTGGAGACGTAGGTGGGATTCAAGTACCTCGCCGAGACGTAGCCAGGAAAGGAAGCCCATGAGAAATCAATGACAGTCTGTCGTCATGACCTAAGTAGATACCTACCACAAATATGCAGCAGATAATGTCACTTGATGCTTGCATTTTAATTTATTTACTGCTGCTCCAAAGGGTTAAGAATAGCAACCTGTAAGAAATTTCTTTGATCGCTATAACGGCGCGGAACACGGTAAAATTTTTATATTAGTTGCGGGTAACTTCTAATTTCCCTTTCCTTAGAATAACCTAATTTAAGAAACACAACAGATAAAATATATATTTATTATAAGAAATCCTCGCTGGCTGTAAGGCTAGGTTGGACTCAGCCCTGCTCTATAATGCCTTCGAAGCAGTGTCGTTTTAGCCCAATCGAACTAATTACTGAAGACCAGGCTACTTTGCTAGAATCATAATGTCCGTAATGGTCAACATTTGATTGCGAGAATCGTTTTTACACTTCTTAGAAAGTACTTGTTACTACTATTACGCAGCCCGTATCAGCGAAATTTCTGTAACGCTACAATGTTCCGCAAATAGTTTTCTGTCCTCATAACCGCATAAAACGGTCATGGCATTCGTTTGAATTTTAATAGGAGAAAGCTGACAGTCACATCATCAGACACGTCGTTATTAACCTCTTCCACGACTTCCACCCCTATTCCTGCCGGAACTTTTTCTAGAAGACCCCCTACTGGCACTTCGGCTAGGTGTATACGATGTGACAGTTCTGGTAACAGTCTTTTCCACACGAACGGGGCGATTAGGTGTGGAAGGTCGTGACGTCCTCACGGTTGACTTCGAGGCTGTGCCACTACTGAAATTACTTTGCTGTTTGGCAACGTTTTGAGTGGTTGACATGGGGGGCGCGGAAGCTATTGATGGCGCATTATTGACTGCGTTAAACGAGGGATTGTAGGCGGGCTGGGACGGATATGATGATCTCGGTTGCGTTGGGTAGCCTGGATTGTGTGGAGCAAATGAGTGTCCACCTGCCGTGGTAGGATAACTTGGATTAGGGTATCCGTGTGAGCCTATAGGATACCCGGGAATGGGATAGCCATGCGAATCTGTTGGGTACCCGCCAGATCGCGGGGGGTAACCCAAGTGATGGCCAGTATTGAAACCTGAATTCGTCGGTGAGTAGGCCGGTGGAGGATAGGACGGGGGACCAGGATAAGTTGGTGGCGCAAACCCAGGGCCTGGCGAATATCCACCGCCCATCGTAGGGTAGCCTCCACCGCCCATAGTGGTATATCCAGCACCTGGGTAGGCGGAGTGGCTTTTGCCACCTCCAAAAAGGCTTGCTAATCCAGTTGAGTACTTCCCAGAGGAGCCTCCGAAATATGGTGAAGAAAAACCTTGTACTCCGTGCCTACCATAACCCATTGCTAAGGCATGCTGTTGATTCAGTTTCTTAATCTGTTGTTTGTGACGATAGTGCATCACCCCCGCGACGGCTGCTCCTACAACGAGGGGGTTTTTGAGAATTTTTTTGAACGGGAAACCGATTCCGAAGCTGGGTAGACCGCCGTAGTAAACACGTGGGACTCCGAAAAGAGGTCTTACAATGGCAGGTCTTACGTATGTGGCACCATTACCCACATCTACAGCGGTACCGGCTGGAGCAGCAGCAATCTAAAATGAATAAAAAAAACCTGCCAGTTAAAAAGACATTATTTTCACACAAGTTATCACCAAAACTAGCACGTAGTTATCACGAATCGAGTACTTGTAAAGTAACGAAAGTTAACAATAGATCATTTGCTAAAATTATTTTTAATTTACTTAGTTTGAAAAGGTTATTTACTTTAAAAGAGTAGTAATACGATTGGCTCTGTTTAACGAAAAAAACTGAAAAACATGATTTGAGCATTTTGTCTGATTCGATGTGCAATAATATAATTATGCTATTAATAATAATGGCAAACCTTAGCAACAATTTCCTCGGGAAGGGGTTTGCACTTAGAAAATTCTTCAATACTGTTGGCCATTAGGATGCTGGCAGGTTGGTTCTGGAAACAGAACACTTCACCACCGCGAGGGAGATGACTCTTCTACAAAATTAAATAATAAGTTTATTAGACAACATAACATGTGACTATTATTAAATAATTGTTATTTTAAATAGTGTCCTTACAAGCGCTAAAATAACGTAATGCTCCAGATACGTTTAGTGGTTACTAATGATCTCAGATGAAAGAAAGAAAGACGCGCTTTAAGTATATATTCTAAGCACCAGCAAAATTAGCGATACCATTTCTATACATTTATAATTATATCCACATTACAGTGAAAAAGATAAACAAATAGCAAAGTGGACTATCTTGACTTACTCTCCGCTCAACAGAACCGAAGCACACCCAGTAATCTCGCTCGGAAACAGCCCATCGAGAATTATCCTGACTTCTACGAACGTTCTTAAAGATTATATCCTGGCTTAACTTAAGTTCAACTTTGTCAACTTCAGTGATGTTAAAATCGGTGCAATAATTTTCCAAATGCTGATCGCCTTCCTGGCTCCCGCGGACAAACATGTTCGCCTCCAGCTGGGGGGCTACCATTGTTTCATAGATATCTGTCCGAATATGTTAATATAGATATATAATAAGTTCCTGATATCTCCTTTCCTGGGCAGTATTTACGCAGTGATAATTGTACTGCAATAATTATTGTTTGATTCGTGTTATTTTCTCAAAGAAGTGAACTTTAGAAAGATCATGAACATTTCTAAATAAAATTTTCGAAATTTTTACGTTTAAGCTCATTCGGTATGCTATTAGCAGTCTAACATTAAATTTCTATTTTTTTAGACAAAAATATTTCTAATAAATAAATTAGATAGCCACTTTGTACGTTGGTCAAGCATAGAGTTAGTCTTTCAATGCAAGCGCAAAAAAGTATCTATGATCAATACGCTTCGAGATAAGTGTGGCCTGAAATTATCCAAAGTTACCAAAAAACTTGGTCGAGAAATACCGACGAAAATAGTGTGCGAGCATTTTTTGCTTAAATTTGACAAATTGCTGCATTTACCAAATAAGAGAGTTTCACATCCTTTCCTAAGAGCAAAACACCGTAGAGGCACCAAAACTGCTAGTGCATATAATTCCTAGAGAGACCTATTGAAGAGCCGGTAAATTCACCGAAAAAAAAATACATATCCTTGTAAATCTTGCCATTTGGGCGATAAACAGGAAAAAACACTGATTATATATATACTACAGAGATCGAAATTGATGCCATTGCGCCTCGTACCTTGATCGTTGCCTAAAACAAGTTTAAGAGAAATAACTGATAGGCAGCTATGGGAACAGTTTCGTTAAATACTAGATTTGCCTCTAAACTTTGCCATGCACGCCCCAGTATCGCTTAAAGATAGGTAGTAATCTAAGCTCAATTTCGGGCATGAATCCACATCGTTTTGTGCTTTAAGGGGTCAGTCATCCAAAACAATGCTTAAAGGTAGCACTTCATCCGCACGCTGGAAATAGCTACCTTTATTATTTAGTTAGTGATATGTGGACTGTACAATTAGTAATTTTACCATGACGTTTTCGAGAAAACTACTGAGCCTACCTCATCAATAAATAACACTGTTGTGTTCTGTTCTGCGATGTGACTCTATCTAAAATCGAATTTATAAAACAAGCCGTTTAAATCCGAAGCCGAAAAAATCGAACACGCTGTTTTGAGTTTCGGTAAATCGTATATCTATATATATATATATATATATATATATATATATATATATATATATATATGAATATATACACTAACTGCGAGAAATATTCGATCGTCTTGTACGTTCAGACGGAGGATAAAATAGAAAATCATTGATTAACATTAAATATATATTTCTCAAATAAGCCATTAAGGCACACTGCTGTTCTGCTAAAAAACATTAGACTGTTAATTTAATGTTTTAGTTATACTGGGTTCATTTGACTCGTGCGGTCGAAAAAGTGCTCATGTGGAACTTGTAACTGTCACTTGTAGTTAAACGCATTATTTGCTTTTGATTTCGCTCACCGTAATTGTGAACGGCGTTTTTGACAAAGGCCATAAAATCAGTCCCGTTGACACCGCTAAAAACGTTGGACTCCGCGCCCGGATCCTCGTGATTGAAATCTTTTTCAATAAGTTGTTTCAGCGCCGGATACATATCGAACATCGCAGGTGAAATATTCCAGTCGTAGATGTTTGGAGACTCGCGTCGCAAATGGGCAACTAAACAGAGATCGGTCAACAATGTAAGCGCTGAATTCAGTGAGAATATACTCAAAGGTATCTTGAAATGGTATTTTTCACTCAATTAAAGCCTTTATAAACGTTCGCAAGTTATCTAAATACATCGGCTTAAAAAACACAGTCAGGTAAAATAAAGTATTTACCAATCCATGACAAACCCTAAACGCGTGAGGCGTATGGCAGATGCGCAATGCAAAACGCTTAGAATTCATAACGCTAGGTTTGTCGGTGTAATGACAGTACACAATGTTCTCAACACATAAAACTTTCAACGAAAAAGCTATGCATAACGAGTTCTGTCCGTGTTTTTTTGTTCTTTTTTGTGTGCCCTTTGACATCTTTTCTGAGATTTCTTTTTATAAACTCTAATATGTTTTTTACAGAATTTTACTTCGTTCAACCGGAGATACGAAAGTTTTTCTCTATGCAACATTTAAGTAAGTCTAGGTACCTTTGACGCCCCGATTTTGGTAGTTTCAAAGCGCACAAGATAGTCATAACTCTAATTGACTTCGAAGTTAACTCAAAATGAAACGCCTGATATAGCCGTTTCGGCCCAATCCTTGACAGGCCGAAAGCGTTTAGCTAAGAAAACATTGAAAGTTGGGACGTACCTGATGCAAATGTCGTAGCTAGGAGGGCAGTAAAATGATATTAACAACGGTACCGCATGTATAGTTTTGTGACATCAGTAGGAACTCCTGATACATTGATTTGTATATCACATTTAATGCAATAACCGGGATCTTTAAATACGCGTGAAAATCAAAACAAAAGTTTCGGGTCGTACCAATTTTCGGCCAGTTCTCGGACGATAGAGACATGCAAAGTATGGTTTGCCCCTCGCGGCGAGCATCGTCAGGGAAGACATATTTTTCTTGGAAGAAGTAGCCAAAGCTGCCTAACGTATGGGACACCCATGCGCCAGAACTGTTTCCGAATAACAGGACACCTTTTGCGATGCCGTTTGTTGTCGATTTGGCAAGCTCAGGAGGTGGCTGATCATTGTAGGTCAGGAACGTCAGGTTCTGCGGACAGCGAGTTCCATCCTCTGTTAACTACACTGTTCTGCGTGGTATATTAAAATTACACATAAATCTTATTTAAACAATTAGGTATTCATTTGGTTGCAGGCATAACTTTGCTTATTCGGAATCGACACTATCGAACTTTGAACTAATCATCGAGAACTGCTGTAAAGTTGTTGATATACTCGTTCAATGTAAAGTGACCTGCTTTATTAATTCTGAAAGGACACATAGTATTTCAGCATAACAAGGACAATTTACTTATTTATTAATTGCACTTTTTGAAGTCCAAAAGTACATGTACGTTTTTATTAGAAAGCGCGCTTGTCATCCAGGAAGCCAATTTTTTTGAAATAATTAAACTTTCTTGTTTGCATAGAACTGATTATGTGTTTTTCTTCAAAACAACTTGCTGTACCTGAAAGCCACATAATCGTTGATCTTAAAGGGTGACGGACGCCATCGACCTATCGCACAGTGATGAAAAACCAAACATGGGTGGCATATGCCCAACGAGGTACGGGCTACACTACACTTTCCTCTGAATTCGCCGTTGGATTTTTCCGTAATGCTTTACGCAAATAGACGTCGGAAATCCTGATCAACATACCTACGTTTGCACACGGCTTATCTACTACCATTGCCGCTGCTGTGTACGCGGAAAAAATAAGACAAGCTTCTCTTTTAATCTTTAGCTTCTGTATCAAAGTCTAAAACCCATATTTATGTTAACTCCGGCGCTGTGTGTTGTATCACTACGGTGAGCGAACTGTGAATATGTTTGAATACGTCTCAGCTTTTTTCTTATCTCTCTGTACACAAACTCATTCTAAAACAAATTCAAGCAACAGAAGGGAGCTTTGTCTATTGCCGCGTAATGATGCCTACGCTTTTGTAGGTTGGTCGCGTAAAGAAACATCGTTCACTTCAAGCGTCTCGCCTCGATTAGAGCCATTTGATGCCGCTTCGCGCTGTCCACCTAGTCTTTGGCACCTCTGCTTACCTTTTCAACCAAGAATGTCCTAGGATACTTGAAGAGAACATCAAGGGTGTTGTAAAGCGCGTTGTTCTGGGTGCTAGTGATATCGTCAAACAACTGCATCCGAACCGTGGCGTCGAGTTTTGTGGCAGAGTCGATGTACCCATACTGAACACCATTCGAGATGGACTCGCTCGTTCCGCGAGACATCGACGCCGCCGGGGCCTTGTACATGATCGACCTGCACAGCGCATTTGTACATTTTAAGGATGAGCGGAAGGAATATCGGCAAGCCGGCACACGGGCGCACAGGTACACGATGTAAAAAATTAATGGAGGATTACATTAAATCGGAAAACATACATATAAGACTTGACATTTAGCTTCTAAAAGCAAAGTGAAACAAGGAAATTCTACGTTCCACGTTTACAGAGTATCGTTTACGCACCTTCGGTATTCATGCTGAATACTGTTCCGACTGATAAAAATGAAATCGTAACGTTCAAATCTTTTTAGATGCCACTGAGAGTAATGGGCTCATAGTATATTTAATTTTCATTGATTATATTAATAGAATACGCATATTACTAATGCCTTCTTTTAATGCGAACAAAAAGGGTTAGATCAACCGGGTTCACTTTAATAGCTGTCCAGACAAGCGACCGCGGCGAACAGTACCTGAAAGGCCGTCTTATACCGTTAATTAATTCAATTTTAGTATAAAAGTAACGATTGTTTTTCACAAACCCAAGATCATGAGGTACTGCTGTTGAAAATCACGCTTTATTTGGAGGAAAACGCGTACATGCAGACATATTGTGATACGAAGAGTCAAAGTGTTAAAGGCTATGTCTTTGTGAACCCAGAAGACAATGTTTAATTGATAAAATAATATAGATGCATATTTCAACGGAATTTAAGATACTGTATATAGAGTTAATTGATTCCCCTAGCAGACCTTGTCATTCGACCCAAACCCTATACATGAAAAAAGCATAATTTTTTGCTCGCGAGTCAATGTGAGAAGCTAGTACCGAGTACCACGATTCTTTTGTTAACGACACAAAAGTATGTATATCTTCTACTTCTCTTGAGGAATGCAAAATCCCATTGGATGTCGTCGATATTAGTATATAATTTTCAATGTAGTCAACTTCGCGATATAAATATACAAAATTCGAACAACACCGTGTACTACTGCACAATGTTATTAAAGATTAGAAAGAATCGGCTGAAACATTTTCGTTAGTGTGAGAGAAACGTGTTTTATTAATTAAGAAATAGGTACACACGTTGATTCAACGTACACCTACGTGTTAACAAAACACGTAGACGTGAAACAAAAACAAAGTTTCAGATATATAGGAAAAGATCAAGTATTTACAAGATGTACTGTGCAATGTGTGTCCTTAAAAATGTAACGACCTAAAAAGTAGTTAACATGCGGTCCTTAAGTTCGCTTCTTAAGATTTCAATTTTCAGATTTTAAGGCTTGCATTTTTGCCCGTAAGCATCCTTTTCTTGGACAAACGTTTTGTTAATACGTGGCGTATGTTGCTACTCACAGCAACCCAATTCATTGATCCATGAAGCGCGAATGGAACACTCTGTGTGTAGCGACATTTCGTAGTCAAGAACTTATTCCAACTTATCTATAAGACGATTGTATCTATTTTTAACTACACGATCTAGGGCTACAAAAACTACATATTTCCCGGTATCTGCCATAGTTATTCCATGTAACAGAACTATCCTAATTAAAAAGTTCGCCTACCTAGTAACACCCAAGCAGGTCCGTAGCAATAAATGACTAATGCGTATTGAGGACCAGTGGAGAATTTGTCAGAAAACATCATTATATGAGGTGAAGTGAAAAAAAAACTTAATAAGATAGAAATTTTATCGTGAAACCTTATGAATAATACACACCATTCAACCTTGTCACCGGCCGGATTTCTGCACCACATATCCCTGAACTCTCCAGGCGCAAACGGTACTGGGGCAATCGGCTCTACAGGCTCCGGGGGTATAGCGTACACTGTGTGCATCAGTTGAAGCATATCCAGAGGACCGAAGTCCATCTTTGCAGTCTGTTTGAATGGAAATTTATGCTCATTTAATCGTTAATCATTGACGGCTGTCAAAATTAATTGAACTACTTAACATAATTAAAAGGCACAAAGGCATATATATCTGATTAATTAACTGCTCAACCTGTTGATTAGCTTAACTGACTTGACTAGAAATTAAATTAATTTCTTTTACAATGTAAATTTTAAAGTCTTCGATCGTATACATAGACATGGAAACTATGCACGATAGGAGGCTGAAGAGAATTTTCAATTGAACAATTAGTGCTTGAAATAACATGTTTTGTGTTCACGGGTGCAAAAACGTTAGTGGCAATAGCTGTTGTCTGCGTATCTGCTGAGTAGTAGGATGAATTTAGCCAAAGTGGGCATGCGGGTACAATTCTCTGCTGTCGACTTTTTTGTGCTGTTCTAAGTAAATGCATTCAAGTACTCAGGACTGGCACACCCGAAGCCATTTCCCATGTGGGTCCAAGTATTGTGATGCACTTGCTATCAGCTGCCTTCTAGCTAGGAAAATATACGCTAGAACTCTGTTTGTTTGTATTAAACTTCAAGAAATGTTTATCCCGTTACTTTGGCGTTCAAATATATACCACCGGCTGGGGAATAAATAGTAACGAATGGTGATAGTAATTCAGTTCCGTTAATACTCAGGTAATAAGTTAGCCATAAAATTAATCTTCGCTGCAAGAGATGACCTCAACACTAATTTTACTTCACTTTGGCGAAGGCGTACTATTTCTTAGCGAAGTTTTTAACTCCTTGTTGGAACGAAAAATTGTTCCAGATTCAGATTGTAAGCGATCTCCCGACTCGTCTGATATAAGTTTAGCAGACTTTTATTTATATCTCTGACACTACTACGATAAAATCAAAATGGAAATTTTTACATTGCCTACAAATGCAATGCAGTCTGGTAATAGTGACAGACAGACATATTACCTAAACATTACTATATATATCTTTATCTTACAGAAAGAGCTATTAGAAGTGATATGGAGGAACCACCAGGCTCCAGTACACGTGGTGAGCATTAAAAAAAGTATTAAGAATTAGTAATCCATTCGAATCTATGGATAGATAGGCCAATAGACGGCATCTTGGCTTTAGATCAATCTGCAGATCCCTCGTAAACCAGGTCTGATTTTCATTGCTGTCAGCTTTCCTGGTATCTTTTCAGCAGCGATCGTAGGAAGTTTCATCAGGTGAGCAAAGGAGCTATATATCGGATTTCAGAAGTTACCAACCGAGTCGAGCTCCCTAATACTACCCTGAATCCGTTGCATCGAACGTTATCGCTCGTAGTTGCTTTTGATGCCGTTTTTTTGTTGCTTTTAGCCACTATCTATGTTGTCGTATTGTGTGATTTCGTTTGTGATGAATCAGGCTTCAAATCAATGAGCCATTGGGCTTATCTGATTGAATCTTTATCAAAATATTGTATACAACACTACAGCGACTAAGACAGATAATTTTTCTAAACGAGGTCGCTTCATTAATCGACGCTTAAAATAGATTCGACTATAGTTAGGTATTGTTGTATAAGGAAATATTGTAGCATAATCTCAGCAGTTAGTCCGAAGAATAGAACACGAAATAGTCTCAGTATTTCACAACAGTAGAATCATGCCTTTTCTAACAACTCAGGCTTCTTTTGGCCCTAGGTTCGCCAGCAGTGGCCAAAGTAATATCAAAAAACGACTCACTAAGGCGTTCTTCCAACGACTGATCGATCTAGGTTAATATTAAACAATCCCAGAATATGAGGCGTCAGAAAACAGGCGCAGGAACTGATCGGTGTGTCCAACTTATTTAAGCAACCTATCATTACACTGGTGAGTACTTACTCTCTGATCATAGTTCGCATGTAATTTTGATAAAAGTAATACATTTTATTAAAACGCATTTTTTCTCTAATTATTAATTGTATTTATTAATCATCATCAGAAGTTTAGCCTTCTCGATTGTACAGCGTCAGATATGTTTTAATTTCTCTTACGAAAGTGAAATCAGTTGTTCCACCTAACTGTTGATTCTAAATGATGATGAACATCAGCATTGTGAGCACCGATACGCCTATTTTTATAAGCACGTACATACCTAGATTGATTCGTTTGGTGACATTTTTCTGCGTGACGCACAAACCAAAGATGTGTATCAAAGTCGGATTGAAAACTGAAGAGGTGCTATTAAAGCTAGCTTGCTAATTGTAAACATGCTAGTTTCGAAGGTTCGTTGCTTGTTTAAAAGTAGACAGGTATGGCAATATCTCTCAAAGTAGTGTAAAACAATGCCAAATAGACTAAGTTTTTGAACTATTTGTTAGTAAACGGCTAGCAACGCTGATTCGTGTGTGCTTGCATATCGTAGACATATGAAACGAGTGAAAAGTTGTAGCAGCTTATACAGGGGGCTAATACGACTATACACGAAATCTCTCGATGAGTTTGGATCTGACACATGTACGTGGGAGCGAAGTGTCTGCCAGTAGAATCTAATGATACAGTATGCTTTTTAGATATCAGCTAAAGTACTTAAGTAAAAGATCTGCACAAGCTATGTTGCTAAAACAGTATAACTATATAAATTAGCGGTTATATGAAAACGTTAGCAAAGGTAAATGCTCCATGGCGCACAATCGTAAAACCTCCGTGACATAGACGCTCGTTAGCGGATTACCTAGCGCCAGCCAGACAACATACCTACCTTAATAAAATGGTTATCGCGAAATGTCGAAGCGCTCTCGAGGCCACATGAAATGAATGGTTGACCAGTGCTACGACATGCTTTTATTGACACTTCCTTCGCTGAACACTTTCCTAAAGACAGCAACGCTCGCCGCCCGTAGTTGGTAAGCCCGTTGGTTATGAAACACATCAAAGCTAGAAAAAGACCTTCGAATAGGGTAAGAGAAAAGAAGGCCTGTATCAAAGCGCCAAAAGATCGGGACCCGAGTAGGTCCGGCGGGTTCGGGCCAACCCTTGGCCACTGGATTAGACCTGTCCATCAGCGGCCGTCACAGCATTGTCAATGACTTCGATGAGTTTTTAAGCCGATGACAGTACTCACCGTAACTGTCCGTGTTAGATAACCCTCTTTCTCAAATACCTTCCCGACCAACTAAAACGAAACACGATGACATATATGCGATACATACGCGAGTTGCATCTTTATCGATGTTTAAATATAAATAGCATGTCAGTGCTAACGATTTTGTAATCCTATTCTCTAAGCGGTTAAGTCGCATCAATCGAAACACTTTTACAAATGACAAACAAGTGAAACAATATATTATGAGCGTGTTTATTGAGAATTCTCTTTTTGAAAAGGTAGGATTTTTTTGTATTGGTTTTTGTGACCTGAAATACGGATATCATGCACCAGTTTTGATGACGCTTTGACGTAAATAACGTGTGACGTAACTGATGAGCGCTCATTCTAGAGTAATCCTCTTTTTTTCTCTTTTTCTTCCTTCTCGTTTTCCCTTTCCCTTCTTCTTTCCCTTTTTTTGAAAGGGTAAGGTGAACTGAATAGCCGAGAATAAACACGAATATTCTGAAAATAAAATAGGCATATTTCAAATGTAAATATAGAGGAAGTATTCACTCGAAGCTGTACTAATACAACTCCAGTGGAAGGTAACGGTACGAGACGCTACATATATTGTATTCGCAAATTTTGCTGAAGCCTTTGCAACGCTACCGCAGTTCGAGGTGTGATGCTTGAAAGATACATCAACCTTACGTCCGCTGAGCTGTTACATCGGTCTAAATAAATTGACATTTAATAATGGCCTGTAGAAGAGTTCCACATATCGTTGTCAGATTTTTTTCACCAATATCCTATCCTATTGTCTATCGCTGTGCTAGGTCCGGAGAATTGTTGGTTGATGTCACATTACGTGGTCCCTAATTCAAGAATTTTTAGCTAGAGTTAATAAACATGATTATTATAATATTAGGAAGTAAAATAAGTTCGGGAAACCTGTATTAGGTTATGTTATTCTCTCACCAATGTATGTTTCTTGCTCATACTATTTTTAAAAGTATTACATATCTATTAAAAGCTGTTTCTTCGTTCTGCACATAGGTATCATTCTTGTTACGATTAGCAAAGTTCTGCTTTATGTTTGGGCACAAAACACTAGCTTTTAGAGTTTATAAGATATTTATGTATAGAAAAATCTAATAAAGTTAAGCAGGATACAAGATTATTTAAAAATAAAACAGACGATATGATTAAGAACGCTGATTAGAAATGCTTGCAAGCCGAATTCTGGAAAATTAATTGAAATTTATCGAAAGTAAGAGCATTAGCCGTCAGGGAAATAGTGCATACAAATGCTGCTACATGCACTACGATGCTTCCATACTTAAAGCATCGCGCAGTTCAGTTTAAATGAATGACGGGACACCCAGACTTTAAAACATACGCGAATATATTGGTTTGAGATAATGGCGTCATTTTGTAACGTTTAGCCTAGAAACAGGGGGCCTTGTTAGCGAGGGGATTGCCCGATCATTGAAGATTACCGCGAGGAGAAACATTTCCGACAGCTGTCATCGTTAGTTATGACAAAAGACAACGCTGCCCCGATAGTCGCAGCAGCTGAGTCTTGGCTGGTATATAAGTGCAGTTTTAGTAGCATCGAAATATATAAGTAAATTCGTGAGCTTACCCTAACCCAGATTTATAAGTAAACGAAAAAGACCTTCCAACTGGCATTGAGAATCTAAGAGACGATTATTGGGAAGAGGAAGCGACAAGCGTCTAAATTAAGATGATTACCTAATATATTGTATGAGCTGTATTTTTTTCATATTGAAATGATATAGAACCACGTATCGGATGAATATTTTCTCCTAATAATTTAATAACCTTCGAACAAGAAGCAAGTTAATGACTGAGTCCTGCCAAACGAAATGATTGGGTCTCACGAAAACATAGAAACAGTTTGATCCTTTGTTAAATGTAGCTGCCGGACAATAGGCACAGCAATCTATTCTATATGCGAGCAGTGAATGCAACCCTCTAAAAGATGAAGATAGTGTATCAGAGGTCATGCTTATAAATCGAGTGATTCTTAACTAAACCATCTCAAAAACATCATACCATCTAAGCTCATTCGTAACGAGCACACAACGTACAAAAGGAACCTTTCGTGACGGTGGCCTCGGGATTCATGCCGCAAAAATAAATTAAATATAATACACGCTTTGTTTTTACTTTACGTTACACGCTTTGTTTACGCTTGTAAAATGTAATTTTAACTTAAAATAATACATTCAAATACTATAGTTTTGTGGAAGAAATCCCATTAACAGTCTCGAGCACTGCACTGACTATAGACTTGCTAGAAAAAGTAGTGGTACACGATGTGTTAATTAACCACACTAACACAGTGTTCACCCCACAACAATGAGCACAATGAGGCTTCCGTGAAAACAAAAGATTTCATATAATGCCTTGTAAAAAAAAACGTATGAAATATAGGTAGTTCTGCTACCACGTACCTGTTGGGGTTTAAGCTTTGACATGTCCGCCTAGTACAAATTTCCAATAACACGTCTTACTGCGAATACATAATAATCCGTACAGGACAGCACAGTCTGAACCTGAGCCAGTATTGTTAACTGAAGTTTTAAAATAAACGGTGTTTCACAAAATGTGTACGCAGTCGCAATGGTTGTAACTGCAGTTTTTATTCACATAAAATTAGTACTTAAATTGCAAAAGAATCTACTCAAAATATATAACGTAATGTTTTATTCTATCGCAAATGTTATCGTTATTACCGAATTATTACCGTTCTGGTCAATATAGTGCTGATATCGATGGATTTCTGCACTACATTCCATATTATGGCGCATTCCTGCTTAACTTTTTTTAAAGTGTCATCAGCTTTCTAGCGTGAACTTTATCGTTAAAATATCCCTACTATAAAAAATCCACTAACATTAAGTCTGCAGAACCGGCAGGGTGTTCTATGGGACCTCATTATCCAACCCAACTGTTTGAAAGGTTCTCATCAAGATAAGCATTTACATAACGATGATAATCTGTAGGTACTCCGTACAGTTGGAAATCAATGTTATCATCTTCACCAAACTTCTTTGGATGCGGAGTAATTTTAAGTAACTGGAACCAACTACTGAATAATATCAAAAATTATGTTGTTCTCGTTTGCTTCAAATGGGGCATCACACTATGACTCCTAGTAGTTGTTCCCGCATAACATATGGGTTTGCAGCTATCCAGTAAATACATAATGATCGATCGTGCTATTTAATTTAAATATAGCCTTACAGCTCCATACAGTCTTCCCTGGGTACTGTGCATCGTGCTCACATTTTTTCAAGTACCGTTCGCAAGACCGTGCTCTTTTATTCGGATTACCTCCATCGATGTACTATAGTTAGCATATAGCTTTTTTTTTGCGCCACGTCCTAAAATGTGACGAACACTTGATGCCAAACCCACGGTTTGCTTGCTTAATAGACTGTTCGATGTTTCGCTACGAATTTCGAGTACATTTTTTGTCTGATACTCTTTTTTCCTGCACGTTATATATAAGCATTTCGAACCGTTTAAAATCCATGTAAAATTTATTTTTTAAGTCGCGTAAGTGGATTCGCTTGGAACTTCCTGCAATATTATCTTTGTACTTAAGCTGCATGTTCATACATCCAATGGTACTTTATAAGGCATTTTTTGTCTAAATGTTAAACGTTAAATTAATGAAAAAAAAAGAATAGAAGGCCCGTGAGCGAGATCCATTAAGCAGCGAACACGTTCTTTTTGAGAAATCTTGTATATTAATGAAACTCAATACATGATGTATATAATGTGTTTTATGGCATATGGAGAGTCTAAAATGGTATAAACAACAAGATTTCGTCTAAATTGAAAAGTTCAAGTTGAAAGGCGGAGGCTAAATAATGAATAGGCGAATGACTGTTGCATGTAGAATAGCATTTATTCACTCCATTCCACTATTCCATTCTTTTTGCTATTGGTGGCACGCGAACGATATCTTCTTTAGCTCTGCAGGACGACATCTTGTCTCTTCCTTCATTTTTCTGCTTTGCCGTTTTTTTTTGCTAACATCTTAAATTATGGATGTTTTTTTCTGTGTTTTTCGTTTTCATCTGAGTATTAAAATACATGCTCATCTTCTTCCCCACCAACAGTTTGTCTGTTTTCACTATTTACTTTTCTCCACTTGGTGGGGTTTAGATTTAATTCTCTTTTCTGTTCGTCCCTTCCTCAAAGAAGAACAATTATCGTATGAATCCTTCAACACTGCAGCCTTCTTCAACCATTACTTTACTCCCCCCATTAAGTGTCTTTCTACGTACTTATACATATATATATGAACGTGTCGTTTTATATATTCCCATCATTGCTGCTCCCGTACATATTAACACTGGTCTCAACCGCTGCGTTCGGTCTACAGCTACCGCTCCACCCGGTGTTTAGGTTTTTTTCTCCAAACGATATCGTTCCAGCCCCTGGTCACCCCCTTTCCAGCTCTTTGATACACATAGTGCAATAATCAGGTGATAATCGCTGTTTTTTTGCCACATTCCCATATTAAACACCTGAACAATATGAACACGAATCTGCTGTCTACCGAGTGACAGAAGTCTTGTGTGGAGCACTATATGCATGTTGGTCAACTTGTGGGCGAAGACAAGATGGGGAAAACCGGTTGCATTAAATAGCTCTGAAGAATGCGGTACCGCGGATTTCAAATCCGCTAATGGAAAGCTCACAACAGTACACGTATGTGTGTGTGTATTATACGAGCTCAAAAATAGAGCGTACCTTCCATATACATGATACCGACAAAAATACATCGCACAGCTTCCGCAATACAGTTCGTAGAAGGGATGTAGTATAGACTCGTCAATATAAGGAAAGTAAGAAAACGGCATCGGGCTACGGAAAATGGAAAACCACAACAACGACGATACAATAAAGTTTTTTAGATGATCCCTTAGCTATGAAGAAGCCACGAAAGATAATCATTTCACCGAGATCTTCTCATCAATGAATAGAGCGTTTACTCTTTCGACTTCTACAACTTCTAGTACCACTACTTCACATCACTGGACGGGGCCCACAGTATATATATCTATGAAATCAGGCTTTTCCTTCCTTTTGTATCCCCATTTTGACGTATGTATATATGTATATATATAGTGCTGTTCCCTTTGCTGAGCAGTTCCATATATATATATATATATATATATATATATATATATATATATATATACGCGAAACTGCAAAAGAGATGCTACTTGTAAACATGATTTCGTTCTGCTTCATTGTAATATATTTGCCTGCCCTCACCTCTATGTTACCACAACTGACACCGTCACGGCGATGTAAATATTTACGGACACGCAACCTGCGGGCTTTGGGTTGCAGAGCAATATGATTTCGGTCATGGGGCCATCTAATATGGCACCTTAAGCTATGGTTCTCACAGACTCTAACCCGCTAAAATTACTATTCAAGTGAGATGTCTTCCGAATCAATGATCCATCGCATTATTATTATTATCTGAATTGCAATAGATCTATCTTTCCCGTTCTTCATCATTACATTGTACGAGTATACATCATATTATTATATATAGAATAGAGACACATATATAAATATATACAGTCTTCGCCGCGTGCTTGTCGATGTAGCTCGAAGACGAGCTCTTTTCTCTGCATTATTTTTTAATATTACCACCACTATTACGATAGTAATCGTGTCTTTCAAATGATTGTTGACGTCAAATACCAATACTTACAATTTTTTGTCGATTTTTATCATTTTTAAGCAAACGTCCATTCTCTCCCTTCTTACATTGTCGTTTCTTGCTTCATCTATCGATTGCTTGGTCATAATCACGTCATACAAGTCACCACGAGTCGCACGTGACGCTCCACTTCCCTTTCTCCTTCTTCTTTTGTTCTGGAGACAGCAACTATTGGAATATAATATGTAGATGTTCATTACAACTTATAACAAACAGGCGCCATAGTGACGGGGGAAAAGGACCGTCACAAGTGAAACGCGGAAGCAACGCCAAGACAACAGTGACGGCACCTCAATCTTCATATTTACGTCTCATCATTGTGAGGTTACGATTGACCGTCGAGGGATTGATTGATGAAGAAGGGTCCACTTATTGAGGATAATGTTACTATTTTTATCATTTTAAGTCTTATGTTATATAATGAATTACCTGTTTTCGCATGTTAATATGTTATAATAGTCGTTATTAGCATTATTGTTAATATTAAAGTATCTATTTGAAGGAATCTAGTGACAAATTATTAAGTTATTCTCATTTGCTGCTGTCACCATAATGTTATTTTGTTATTATGTCTTGATTTTTCTTCTGTTTGTTTCACCATTAACTCAGCACTATCATCGCGACAATACCCACTTACGTTGTCTGTACGCATGCGTGTCTATGTTTGTCGATCTACCTCCGTCTGTACTAGCTAGGTTCTCGCACTGGAGCCATCTCAACAATACACCGAATCTAGTACGCCTGCCTAGTTCTCCCTATCATTTTTACTCCATTCGAACGTTCGATGTTAGCGCACAATGTTACTCAAAGCTTTTTTCTTTTACATATCTTGTAATATCGTTCATAATACTTTTCTGCCACGTTCATATTGTCATCACGATCCCTTGTCTTCTTCTGCATATGTGTGTGTAAAGTATATTATTGTTTTGTTTTTTATTTTTGTTAATGCTTTGTATATTGTATCACTATCACCATAGTACGATCGTCAGTATCATCACATTTTTGTTTCATGATACGGTACGCATACAAGAATGTATTGTGTCTTCACTTGAATTCATATGTTTACGTAGAGGTTTATATTCATAAAAGGGCAAAATATCTCAACTTATTCATACATATATTTTCTCTCTCTTTGTTTTATTAGTACGCACAATGAGTGTGCAGACTGTGATTGAGGCAATTGCAGCAACAGTAGTTATAGTGTAGGTACACGGTTCGAATAAAAAATTATTCATTTGATCAAGGCGCAAATTAAGGAAACGAATACACTACATTGTTACTAGAATCAATACGACTTTCACGAGAAGCGAGACGAAAGGCGAAAAATAAAGAAATGACATTGTGTTCATCTTACCAATGTTCCTGAAGGGGTTTAATGTAACCATAATATGACAACATATGATTAATATAATTTGTGATATTACTATTATACTGCTCTTAGTATGACATTTACTGTTCAGCTCTATCGAGTTTATTCGATGTACTATATCGTCAGTTTTCTATGCAGTTGTTTGAATTACCGATTTGCAGGAACACAACAATGTTGTTACTTTGTATACGAGAGAAGAACTTGAGGGCTCGTGCATCCATGAAGAGAATTCGTGTTTTGTCAAAGAAGATAATGCTCGTCATGCTTGGCTACAATAACAAGTTCAATCATAGTAGTGATTCGTATTACGATAATAGCAACAGAAATAAGAATGAATAAAGGTGACTCGTTCATCTTGTTCTCCGCTGTATTTGTTGCTGCTGGCGAGAGGTCCACTTTACAACATTCAATCCCTCCCTCGACTGTTTCTGCATATGTACTTGCTGAATATACAACGGGTCTATACAACCTAGATTCGCCCGCATGGACACGAAAGGTTTTCGTTTTCGTAGCTAACGCCATGCCGTCGCTGGCATAAGTTGTATTTTTTGCTCGTAGTATAACTAACCCGTGTAACGTCAACACAATAGACGACCTTTTGACCGACGAATAACAACATTTTGGCAGTCACAAGGAAAGAGTGATTTTTTCGTTCGTGTTACGACTTCGACCGATACCTCTGCAGTGATTTTTTGTGTAGGTATTGCCACCCAAAGCTAGAAGGTGTCGACTGATTGGCCTGAGCACCGTCAAGGCCTTAAATATTCGTATTACGCAAATGTGAATAGGAGAAATGGTACCAATTCAGCTTCCCATTCTGCTAGCTTTTCTCTTAGGACATCCCTGCCGTGGTCAAAGTTGTCGGTTCCATAACAGCTTTCATTCCTAGAAAAAAAACAAAAAGGTTATTGTTATTACTACTGTTCAATATGCACATTTTTTGAATAACTTTAATTATTTTGCTTTTGATGGCTGCATACGATAATGGAAGCCTACATGACTGAGACTCCGCTCGTTTTTATTCTATTAGTTACGTATATTGGTGCGTATTGTTATGTATGATGTATAAGTATACATATTCAAGGTGGCGCATCTGAATTGAGAATTTTTATTTGCTTTATATCTTAAACTGTACCTAACCAAAGACAAGTATTTTACTGACATATGTTGTATATTCCATAAATATATCTGATGATCAGTTTCTTACATAACTACCATTCACAGTGATTACAACTTGAATTCTCAACCTAAACAATTAACTGTCCTATTTCAGAATTTTTTATTATTAATCTGGAAGTAATTTTTGGGTAGTAAGTGTGCACTAAGTGATATTGATGGTTGTAAGCTAATGAAAGTACCGTTAAGTAAGCTACATAGAAAAATTGCAAAGTAGAAGAAAGCGTTAAGATTTCTAAAAAAAAAATACTGACCCTTGGAGCTCAACTGGACGATACTCCTTTCTTATAGGAGAGAAATATTTTTTTTAAAAAGGAGAAACGTTTCTTTCTAAAACAACCAATAATTTATTGACCAAAAAGTGTATTAAAAACGGCTTTTATCGTCATTTTGATAAATTTTCAAACCCTCTGAATCCAGACTTTTTAATAAAAAGATCTTTAATATAGATCTTCTGGTCTTCATGCAAATCCTCCTACGATCCTTCCTGAAGCCGCACGGAAACTAGCAAGAACGTAGACCCTCAGTTTTAGGCAAAAAAGTTGGTTTTTAATCTTGGTGGCAATTCGTATCGTAGGAAGATTGCGTTATAATTAATCTTTGCTTAAATTCCGAAGTCAATGTTGGAATTTGTTGTTCTTTTTTAGAATAAACTGTGCTTCGCCCTATACCAGGAACAGCGGATGAAAGTCTGCCGGAGACAACAAACAGCCCGGCGAAGTTTTCCTCATTGTAGACCTACCAGCCTATATACCTCAGTCCAACAAAGCACACTCACCGGAAACGTCCCTCTGAAGTTTGGCGCACGTAAGGCTGAGCAGGGCACGAGCCGTATTGTGCTCGTCTGCGTAGTATTCATCAGCCTTGCTTGTCGAGGAAACTGGGACATCATCAGCTTCTTCAATGCCGTCATCGTCATCATCGACCTCCTGTTCCAGAACCTCATCGTCGTCCTGTCCACCACGTCCAGCGGCAAATCCGCTCTCGACGTGTTCATCATCGTGTTCAACAACTTCCTCATGCAACACAACGTCCTCAACGACATGCTGCACCACTCCGTCATGCAAAGGCATGTATTCCTCCTCATCTTCCTCTTCCACAACCTCCTCTTTGATTGCATCATCGGACATGATCACCTCTTCAACAACCTCTTCCTCGTGCATCTCGTCCATGTCCTTTAACGCATCGTTCATAACAAAAAAAAACCACGCCGTAGATGAACGAATTAAGTACTTGTAGCCACACATACACACTAAACAACTACTTCAGACTTAATCAACAACTTCATTCACCTAAAAATCACTTAGTCCAAGCGCTGAACACTCAAAAGTTTGAAAGCATATGAGGAAAGAAATTTAAATAGCAAAGTCTAACGTGCTATGAGTTTCAGTAAATACTGGACAAAATAGGTTTATAATTACTTCATAGTAAATTTCACGCGAAAGATACCTAAAGCACGACCTGGCTTAGCGAGGATCTCTAGAAAAAAACGACTTAAAGGCGACTGATTAATGCCGTTGTATACTTACTTGCTTAATTTCTACTTCGGCTGGTTCAAAGTGACGTGATAGTCTCTCGACCCTTACACGTTCCCTATTTCCGGAAGAGCTCTGTCCACTACCAACTCCCTAGAAGTGGCATAAGCAACACAAATGCAAAAAAATTGACATTCGTCTCTGAGTAGAATGCGAGAGTGTGTCATCATAACGATATCGAGTATAAATCACTGCGTAAAAAGGCCAGCGACTTAATTTTATCGAGTAAATAAAGGCTACAAGAAGTCACCAAATACGAATCGTCGAGCCTCTAAAGGATAATTCATTTCATGGCAATATAATTAAAGTTATTTCCTGCACTACAGCTGTATGACAAATAGAAATGTCAGACGATTCATCACTATTTTCTCGATTAGACTGCGTGCATCACTTACTAACCTTGAGATCAAAAATGAACTGTCGGTTGTTGGTCTTCACCCGGATTTCATTGTCATCCTCTTCATCTTCACCTTCGCCTTCATCCTCGACAGCCGAATAAGTTGCTGACCCATTCGAATCATGACAACACTCAAAATCGTCCTTGCTCTCTGAGGTGCTACGCACTTTTCGAATGAATTCCTCCGCAACGAGCTGGTGCAAAGAAGCGCTTGAGGACAGACTGCTAGATCGAACGATCCCGCCACCTTGATGTCCATTGCGGTGATGGTGGCCAACGTTACTACCGCCCGCGTGCGGAAGTTGATTATGGTGACCCTGATGCTGGGCCGGTAATTGATGTTGATGAATTTGCTGGTGATAACTGTGTTGTCCAACTGCAGCTGACTCCGACTTGACTCGAACCCGTTTAGCCTCGATATGACGGGGCTGGTGTTGCGTCTTACGTTTAGTTTTTTGAGAAACTGAACTGTCATGAAGGGGCAATGGGATAAGATCGCCAACTTCGTGGCCACCTCCTGTGTTACAACCATGATTGCCAATGCTAGAGTTGGTTGCTGAAGTCACCACTTCTTGCCCTCCAAGAGGAATAATCAGCTCAGCTTGATCTAGTTCGACAATGCCGTCTTCGATAACCTGCTCCACCGATGTCGACGACTCCGTCTCGGAAGATTCGGAGTCCGAACTCGTTGTTGTGGTTTGCTCAGAAGACACCGTCAGCTGCCAAATAGGGGAAACAGATGACGTCGGAGAATTTGTGGCGGCCACAGTTCAACAAATACCTAAAATAGTCCTTCTACGGCATAAATCCAGTATATATGGTAGAATTTATAACAGAAATTTCGTGTTACAAGGAAATATTGTTACCCTTCTACGTGGTTCGCGTCTGGGACGAGAGCTCGTACGGTTCGAGTTGTTTTTCTTGTTGCCATCAGGTTTGATTCCACGCCGATTCACATGCAAGAGGAGATCCGGCCGATCCGACCGGAACGAATCGTGATGAAAGATTGAGTGGCTTGCGGACGAAAATGACAGCAGCATCACAGAACCATTGGCGCCCTGACCAGACTTCGAATTCTTCGGCACCTTCCGAAAGCCGTACAAGTTCAGTTGGCGAACAAATGATGTGATATTGTTCGTTTTGAAGAGTCGTTTAGAGGCATCTAAGTACTCCTGCGATAGTAACGAGCGTTGGAAAGGTTATGGTTTATATAGCTAGCCTAACGAATACGCGTTTCATTGGAACTGTTTAAGTTCAAATCGATCAATCTAATTTCTAAATGAAAAGGCAGCCAATCTTTAACTGAAGTAATGTTCTCTGATGATCTCACATAAGTGAAACTTTAATCTTAGCTACCTATCCTTAGCTATCGTAGTGATTTGATATCAGGAAAAAAATTGGTATTTTACCCTTTCGAAGATTTGATAGTTGATCGCAATTGCAGTGCCACCATATATCCACTGTATGGCACCGCTGTTGCAGTCGGACACTATACGCCAGAGCTTGAGCGGGAAGCGAAGATTGCTTAGATTACCAAGCAGCAATCGAGAGTCGAATTCTTCGGGAACAGGCGGCGGGGACCGCGAACAAGTAACTTCTTCGACTGTCTCCACGTTGGAGTCTTCCGTCACGTAAGACGAATCTACGTCAACCGACATCCTCATATCTACTTATTCTTTAAGTGGTTGATTAGTTCCCGTTGTTGCACGTGATTAGTACCGCCTCGGACGTAATTTTTGCAATAGGCAGTTTGGACTGTAATTTTAGAATAGTAGTTCCTTGAAGAGCTGCTAATCTTATCGCTTTTCGTCTCTGCTTTCGATATATGTATTTGTTTATATAACGTACTACTATGTAGGCTTATCCCGATGTGTATGCGAAACAAATGCAATATGTGCGGCCGAAGGAAGCCGCTTAATGTGAAAGTGGTAGGCCTTCGTGTTGACCGCGAAGCGGCCGGATCCCGAATGTTTGCTCTGTTTGAGCAGCAGAGCTGCCGCATTCATCCACAACTCTGAAAACGTAATTCAAAGCAAAAAATACATATACATTATGATTTTAATTTTCTTACTAATTATCATATTCGTGAATGTTAATTCGAAATCCATTTCAGTTTGCTGTTTCTAGTGCAGAAACTAATTAAATAGCTTAAGTTTCAATACAGCGAATGTCAGGCGCACGTCTTTCATTTGCCTCTCATCCTTCTTACAGTGCGGACCTAGTAGTAGCTATAATTTTCCTATTATTCTTATTATTATTATTATTATTATTTTCCTATTATTCCAAAATTGACCTTTGCTGAACAGCCTGACACAGACATCGAGAGAATTACAAACAAATCAAAACGTAGCTTTAAATATTTCCATTTCATGAATGGGCTCTATGGAATGACTTCGCAGTTATGAACGTATGAAGTTACTTATCATGCAATGAGATTCTGAGGAAGCATCGGCTTCCATGTCATGGTGTGAATCAGCCTCTTGAAATACAAAGTACAGAAGTGTGCAAAGGAAATGGTGTTTTGGATTCTCTAAATTTGGAAATAACTAGAAAGCGTTTAAATATTGTACGGTGTTGCTGATTGCAGTTAACAGCACTATATATTTCCTGAAAGTTACAACGGTGAACTGTTGAGACAGGAATTAACAATAAAAACGCAACTGTGTAAACATAACTCCCTACATAACTGAGGGAAAGAACACCGTTATTGCTTTGAACGAGTGCTAGCGATTGTCGCACATAGCCACTGTACCGTAATGAGAGGCGTTCCAGTGGCAACAGGGAATATTAATATGGCAACCGAATAAATTACAGATCGCGTCGGGTAATCGTGTTGTGACGACGGGTGCGTGTCTGCGCACTGTATTGCAACACGACTTTCACATTGCTCTGCATGCTTCGTGGCTGTATTCGGCTACAATAACTGGAGACGACACAGAAAATGGACTGAACATACTCCGTCCTCCATGACGCCTAATTGCGCGTACAAGGTCGTAACCAAAAGTTGGCACTGATGCACGAAAATGTCAGACAAAAATATAGATTCTCTCATAGGTAACATGCTTTGATTACCAGAATATTAGGCTTCCTCTTAATATATCTACAAATGGAAAAGAATGTTAAGAAGCTCGTTGTCGCCCAATCTCGAGGTGATATGGGCAAATCCAATGTACCCGCCACAGTACTGAACGATTTATTCATTAAAATCTTTACAGAACGTTTCCTTAAGTGTCTAATAATGCTCAGAATTTTTATTATACGGCAAATATTTACGAAGGTATCAATAACCCGTCTTAACTGTGGCACTCAGAATATCACAGAGCTGATTGAGTACTTCTTACGCACGTTACAAGGATCAATTTGGTTGAAAAATATACTTTGCAAACGATGTAACACAAAGGGCGCTGATTTCTTAGATATGTACTTGATATAATCAATTTTCAATTCAATGACCAGAAATTCTATTCTGCGGCGGAGTTTTGAGGCCATATTAAAAATTTATCTCAACTTATTTCATTAGATTGCAACGATAGCTTTTATTGATGCACCAGTAGACAACACGATCAACTAACTAACGTTAGAGAATAGTGTAGTAACGTAATAAAAACGCTGAGAATGATCCTGATTTTGCTTTTTCTCGCTTTTTTTTTGCAAATCACGATTTGATGCAACCTAGTTGGCATAATAATAACTATTGTTAGTTATCATCATCATAATCATTACTGTTCAAAATAGAACCAGCAATAACTGGTGCAGCAGCAGCGGCTGTAGTGGCCGCTATGGCGACAGCAACCGCTCGTCATTTAGTAGTTCCGCACTGAACGTCGGCCCTACCGACCGAGCGGCCGATGACTTGCCTTCCCGGTTCAGTCCCTGAGCGCACGCAACAAGCAAGACGCAAGAGACGCCAGCCATAGACTACCATTAATACACACATGCACTTATTGGCAGCATAGTGTAGTGCAAGGGACCACTGTTCTCCATCGCGCATTTGCGCGTCGTCACCATTGATGATAGTGCTGTCCTATGCTGCTAATACGCGGTGCCGTTGAAGCTGCTCAAGCAGTTACTGCGGCAAGACAACAGTAACAATAACAGCAAACATCGAGCGCGTGAAATAGCGCTGGCGCCACGTTCGTAAAAGCTGGCTTGGTTATTGCAGTTGCTGTTAGCTAGTGAGCGGCGCCAATGGGGGGAAGCGGTTCTATTGTGAACAAAGTAAAGTGACGATGCTGCTGGCGGGCGATGTGCAAACGTGGTCCCATGGGTCACAACAGGGAAACGTCCATCCGCATATCGTCAGCACCAACAACGTAACTATCCGAGCAAAGAAATAGCGGCAGCGTGTTATTCAAGCTGCTGGTTTCGCTGTCTGCTGCTATATAGCATTATATGGGGCTGTTGCCACCTTTGTGTCGCTAGAGTGCACACCGAACGAATTCTCTTAACTGAGCGCAATCGTAAACGGTGTCTGTAATGTCCGCGACAGTAACGCCTTCGCACACAAAGATACGTTTCGAGAAACATCCAAGCAAATAAGGATGCGCAATAATAACATCTAACATGCTTATATATATATATATATATAAAAACAAACACAAGGTGTTGATATCTAGAACAAGTGCAATCGCAGCTCTAGAAGAGGGCCAGCGACATTCTACGGCTGTTATGATTTGAGGAGTGGTCTTTGTTGTCGACACACCGCAGATCAGGGTCACATATTACCTGGCCAAAAAACAACAATAACAACTACAGAACGACAGAATCTACTAGCGGAACAACAATAGTATGGTGTCGTCAAGATGACCGCGTGTGTTCTAATGCAGGAATCTTGATTACAACAGCAATAAGGATATTAGCAAACTCAGTACTTGAGAAACAGAATGATAGTGCATCACACTGATGCTTTTGTATTAAAGTCACTTGAAAGGATTCCCGGTAATTGCTAAGATTTTAATTATCATCGTTCGTGATAATCGTAATGTAAATAGAAAAACGAACACTAACGATTTTGATCATAGTAATACAAATTATAGTCGCAGCAGAACCAGTATCTACCCATAGACTGAAAACGAATAAAGTTAGGCAAATGAATGTGACCCACAAATCATCTTCTTTATAATTTTGCGTGCTTATCTGTTATAATAAATAAGAAAAAAATAGCACACAGTGACAAATATTTTCAGGCTCCGCTTATTTAATATACAGATAAAAAAAAAAACCTCGCTTTATTTTAGCTTCACAAAATGGAACGACCTTTACGTCAATTATGTACCACAAATGGAATAGCGCCGAGAGGGTAGAACCGTGAAAGATAATAGATGCTATTCTACTAACACTAATTAGCTATACTTGTTTGTACTTTTTTTCTGCAATGTCTTGCCGTAACAGGAAGGCCTATTACTTTAGATAGATGGAACATTTTAGCGCAAATGTTTTGCGTGATTTTTGCATCCAAAGATTTGTCAACCCCAACAGTAGCAGCAAAGCACGCGAGAATGTCACTACAGACAGAACAAAAGTCTATAAACATACACGGGAGCGCCATACTGTGCAAGGGTAGCATAGAGATCTGTAAAATACGCATGGACATTTCACACGGAGATAGTGGATTCATCGTATTCGGCGGAGACAGACAGAAAGACAGTGAACGTGAAGGATTGTGTTCGAGCCGTGAGGTTAACCTCCTACAAATATAATTAGCTGTTGAGGTCAACAATGCGCGCTGCACACTCAAAGGGCAACGGACGAACAGCAAATAAAGCAACGAACTGTGTAACGGCTACAAAGCGCAGATGTAGAAGTTCAGTAGTATTCATATACGTAGAAGTAGATATAATAGAAGACCAAAGGGGATAAAGCGAGAAGCGACCGACAAGTGTAGACACCAGCAATTTATGGTGTCCGTGCAAAACTGACAGCCTGATAATTAAATCTCTATATATAATTTGTATAATACATACTGTTTATAAGGTACACTCGTATGCTGGGTGCGGTAAATTAAACCAAAGCGTAGGAGTGCGAAGCCTCGAAAGGTTGAATGAAGCTAAACTAGCGGAAACGATACAATACAAACAGAACTTACACATGTATCAATTTATCTTTACGACAATATCGAAGCACAAGAATTCAGAGTATCAATTGCATTGAGTCTAATGCACGAGATTATTGATTACGTTATGTACAGCAGCAGCGCCAAACAAGCGATCGAGTAACTTTCCACAATACCAACATGCTTGAGGAAAATATATACTTGTATGTGAGTATAAATGGATCGCGCAGTGGCCTGGGATCGCGCGGTGGCCTGGGAAGACAGCAATAATTATTCAGTGCATAAACATCTGTACATCGTGCGAGACCGCTATCAAGCAGTTAGTGTCCTTTCTCGACTATTTATAATTCTATTGAACAACGGTGTTCTAAATTTTGGCTAACCGTTGCACTTTGTATGCAACATTAAAAAGGCAGCAGGTATATTTGAGAAAACTTGTTCAATAAACTGAGTTTTTTAAACTCGTTACTAAGTGCTATTATTATTACTATTGTGCATTGCACTTATCATTTTTTTAAATTTTAGACAACAACACATTTTTAGTTTGCCTTTACGATATGCATTCACGTCACTTCAAGATTACACTAGTATACGCCACCGGTGCGAATACATCGAATAAGTCACTATGTCAGAAGCTCGTCCACAAGTCGAATCGCAGCGCCAAATACGCAAACCAAATGATCATACCGAATGTGGACTATTTATTATTAGATTAACGAGAATATTGTCAATACGCTTCAGACACTGCGGGTCCATCACAACCGCCACCACCCTCACAATCAGAACGGGACTAAGACCACATATTATAATGAGTCTGTAGCAACTACTGCCAATTGTGGTGTCGCTCAGCAAGTAAACTATTGAGTCTATGCACGTACACACTGATAATGTTGACACTGCTTTCGTAGGAGGTAAACTACCAACATCATCATTGTGGTTGTCACCATCGGCTACGCGCTGCACTTCTCATGAAGCAGCACAATGCATGAATTAAGTAAGGTTGCTTGTACCACCATTCGCGTTGTTGAATGCCTGCAGTTAACTGCTGCTACTGACGTTGTTGTTGTCGTTAGCGTCATTACTGCTACAAGCAGCTGCTAGGCGCAGTTCATTCAGACTCGAAGCGACTGCTTTCGCTGTTGTTGCAACGGCAGCAACTATATGTAAGAGCAGCGCACTTCCATTGCCGCTGCTGTCAACTGTGTATAATATCAATCCCTGTTCGAGCACTGGGCGCTGGACATCACCGGCCATTTCATTATCTCACAATGTCACAATAGGAGCGCAGGAAAGACTTGAACTGGCCACTACTACTTCGATAATTACTATTTTTATTCTATACGGACGACAAGACCGGCCGAGCTAATGACCGAGCGAGGCGAGAACAGAGTACCATTTATACCACGACCGATAATAATAATGTACGATACAAGAGGCAAACTATGGACAGGGCAAGGCTGAGGAACGTGCCATCGCACGAATCGACAACTCGTATACGAACGATACCTATTTAGAGTTTATGAGCACAGCAGCAGTAGCACCAGCAGTAGCAGTAAACCAGAAACACACACATACACGATCGCTAGTCGGGAGACCAATCATTGAACCAAACAAGCCTGTGTTGCTCGAAGGGGTAGGGGAGATTAAGGATTGACTGGGTCGATCCCGTGTGACCTGAAGGCAGCGCTCATTCATGCCCATTTAGTGCATGAATCATATCGAATACTCATTCGTTTGATCGGATTCCGCCTAGGAAGCCGACCAAGCGTCACGGAATAGGTTGTCAATGTTCCGGGAAGCTGCGAAAAACCACCAAAAGACATGGAGCGTCCAGTGGGCCCTTAGGCCTAACGGTGACTCGTAAACAATTGCCAATGTTCACTTAAAATCCATGTAACCTCGCACGGGGGTGACGGGAGGTGATTCGGAGTCATCATACGGATTGCGGCAGACGTGGATTACGCAGGTATTTCGCGTAATTTCGCTGTTGCGGGGGCCTGCTGCTTTTGGAACGGAACATTCGAATCATGGCTTCAGCTGAAAATCGGCCAAATTTTAGTGGTCATTGACTCGTTAATGACAGTACTCACCTTTGAGAGAAAATTCGCCGGGCGACGAACGCTATAAATTGGCAAATCGTCAACTCGAAATCTGCGTTTCGCGAAAATCGAACGCTCCAAGTGCGCGGAGAGAAGGTGAAGATAACCTGAAGCTAGCGGCGCTGTGCGACCCGTGATGGCGGGTTTCCGCCGTACGATGGCAGGTTGAAGCATGACAATGAATACCATTAAAAACTGCTTTGAAAATACATACAATGACAAGTACGCGCGCATAAGTTAACAAGATATGATAACAAGCAGTTATGCTAGCGGAAATTTAGCTAATTACGAACGAAATTTAAACCACAATGTCGGCCATTGGCCCGATTCGAATCGTGGCGCTTAGAAGCGGGACGCTAAATTGGCGCCCTCTGAAAGTGTTGACAATGAAGGTGTTTGATTTGGGGTAGTTCGAGTCAATCGAAGGTGCGGGAAATTATCAACTTTGATTAGAGTGTATATGTGTGTGTCGGCTGTTTAGCCGAATTGATGGTGAGTGCTGTGCAGGTGTTTGGTGGCATAAGCGCATAATGTGTGCAGGGTAGATGACTTTGCACGCTATCTCTGATGCATATGCTGAACTCTTGCAAATGATACTTGAATTGTTATAATCATTGGCACAGCAGATTGTCAGTCATATACGCGCGCGAACCAAAACGAAATTTCGTTTTTTGCCATTTCGTGTTGATTGCTGGTTTGTATGGTGTGATGATCCCTAATCGACTTTTTGTGCCGACTCCGCTAAGCTAGTGTATCCGTCTATGCTAAATTTACATTGTCAATTTACTACTCTAACGCAGAAGTGCATGTCAAAGTAAGATTATGGCGCTGTTTATCTGAAATTTGGAATATTATTAGTTGTGGCTTCAAGCTACAGTGTTTAGTTGTCTGTTTCAGATGAATGGAATCGAGAAGATTATACATCTGTAGAAATGACAGAATAAAGCCACATTTACTATTGTGTTTGTCCGTTTTCAAGTATATCCACTTACTAGATTTACCCGAATGCAGAACAGTTTTCTTTACTTAGCTAGGTTTTTGAATTTATTTGGAGTGAGGTGCTTTAAACAAACAGAAAAAAAAACACCAATGGCAGAATGTTCTACCGTGTTTAGTTAGCAGCCATGTGTTGAGACTCACTATTGAAACTGTAAAACATTATACGAGCAAAAATTGATGATAAACATCCTACATTGGTTTAGCGCTATACAGATCGACCTGTTCAGGAGAACAATCACCATCGTCGCTATTCATGTGATGATCGCGTGACACTGTGTCATCCCGTCAGCAGTAGTAAGTGGCACGGGTACTTACCTCCTATTTTATTTAATGGAGGGCTACCTTAACACATTAAAATTAAATATTTTTAATCTAATCCTTTTCATTCAAACTCATGTGTATCGCCATATGGCGAATAGATGTTAGCGTATAAACACTGCATTTTTCATATGCAAATATTTAGAAACATTTTTGCTACTGACCTGTCATCATAAGAACAAAATGGTTATGCTATTCAAAACCGAGTAACAATAAGTTCGCATTGTATTAAAAATTTTATTATTGTTCACAGCTTAAAATGTTATTTCTCCAGTTAGCACAGAATACGAATATAGCAGTCAGCTCGTCTAGTATACCAAAATTATACATCACTTTTTAAACTTTTTTATCATGGTTATTTTTAATTGCGAAAGACGTACAGGTGTGATAAAAGTAAAATTTCATTCATATAAGCTTATTGCATCGCAATAAAATTCAGGATGGTTAAAGTTTTTCATCATACAATTAATATTTAGTATTTTTGCTAAGTTGCTTTTATTCCTAACAATAAATGAATTCATTTAGAGACCAACATAAACTTAAAACGTATAATGTACGCTCATATTATTATTTAAATAAAAAGCGTCTGTTTTTCGCTTTTACGTAAATTTCTTTATATATGCTTTAAATGAAATAAATATATTACCGTTAAAATAAGAATGCACATGCAGTTGCATACAGCTTGTTTTTACCAGAACCAACCAGTTTTCCATGTCCGCTTCAAACAATTAAGTTACTGTAACATGCTCGCCGAAACTGTTTTTGCAATCACTACCGGCTTTGTATGATATTGTGTATCATTTATTGTATTGGTGTGGTTTTTGTTGTCATTTTTTCAGCTTTCAAGATGACCTCGTCCAGCAGCCCCATACTCCCATCAAACGACGTAGGGCCTGTAGGGACACTCCTATTTTTCTCTCTTCTTATGATTGTGTGTCCCATATCAACATTTTTCATTGTCCGTAGCACACTTGTTCACTTCGCCACTGACATGTTGACATCCTCAATTGCCGCAGCGGTGTGCTCCATTTTGGCAGTACACGGAGTCGTAGCAATGTTCGTGTATAAGGCCTATCATGAAAAGGATGACGGACCTTCACCAGCCCTGGTTGACAAGGACAGCAAGGTTCCACAGAAGATCGACTAAATCTACATCGCGAGGAAAGAACTTGTTCTCTATAATAACGCGAAAACGACAAGAGAAAGTTCGACTTTTGTGCTGCCTGGTTTAGAGCCAGATGTCATATTTCACAAGTATAAACCAACAAAAATAGTTTGATACTTATATTTCTGAAGCCGGGTTTACATTCATAAAGGAAGCACCTGTCTGAGCTGGAAAGACAACTAATCACAATACTCTCGTTAACAATAAAATACATTAAACGAGATAACAATATCCTACACAACGCATAAATATCAGGACATTGACAAGAGGTCTAATATAAATGATAAAGCCATTAATAAAGATGTTATATGTACGGAAGAATGTGTGAAATAGCTGAGCGATCTAGATTATCTAAGAATTAAAGCGATCACTCCCTAGTTACTAAAAGTATCACGGATAGCACTCCATACCCTATCCCCACCGAAGATCAACTACACGGATACTTAAAAATGCTACTACATCATCAAAGACCACCAAGAGCGTACAAAGGTTATAGTTTATCATCTACAACAGTTATGCGCGTTTACCTCGTTCTATTGGCCAACGTGGCAATTTTCGATGCTGAGACTACATCTGAAGGCTACCTTCCTAAGAGTAATAAGCCCGAAATCATCAGTGGTAATCTAATTGACCATCTAAAGAAACACAACAATCTTCTTCGAGCTGATCGCTGGTGGCCAGACCAGAGTCCGGTGGATTGGTCTGTTCAGTGTCACTACCCAGCTACCCCACAAACCGACTCGTCTACGTCATTCTGTGTTCGGACCCTTCAGATCAATTGTAGGCCATCTTCAGTTCGCGCTGTCTACCAAAATGTCGTCTTCAAATCGCCAGTTGAACAGATTTCGCTGAGTGTACGTGCGAGAGGCGAACAGCTGGACCCTGCGGCCACCGCCTCGTTTATGGGTGTGTATTAGGGTTCGCTTTTGTGATGCAGCACGCTATTTTGACGTGGATGCATGTGTCAATGAATTTTTACTCTATTTAGATTGAGTCGGGTGTTCCATAGCGCACATTTAATGTATATTCAGTAAATATTATATATACGCTAGTAAACTATAATTAAGATAAGAATAAACGGCGTTCACTTAGTGAGGTGAACTTATGATGAGATTATCAACCTTCGCAATTTCAGATTTAGTTCAAATATATCGAACTTATACCTTCGGTAACTTCGTTGCAAAGCAAAAACGGTACCATCTATGTGACACAAAATTATACTGTAATCATAAATTTATTCAAAAGGGTAGAGCCAAGGCTTTTAAATATACCCTATTGTATATTGTGTCGACCTCCACAGCTCCTGTTTTCCTGAGGTCGTATCTCCATCTTAATCACAGCGTTCCGCTAATAAAGGACAAGTCTTTGATTATAGCGCATCGTCATATACTAAATTGAATAAAACAAGATGTTAATGGGTCTAGAGTGGAATGATACATCACTTCGCCTTTGAAATTATTTTATTATGCAGTAATGTGATTGGATATTTGTGAGCATTATTTCCTTATTTAGACAACCATTGGTATACAAATGAGGCTCACTAAGTTGTCTGAAAGCCTCTTGGCGGCTTAACATTAGGAGCTTTCCTCGAAGACGCTAATGTTTTAAGGAGGTCTCCAGAACCCTTATTTTTCACTTTATAGTTGGTAAGCCCATTGTTGTCGCCTTCTCAAGACACGTGTACGGCGCAGAGCATTTGAAAACATTAGTTTTATTCGCATTAGTTATAAATGAAGGTTTAAATAAATAAATGAAAGTTAATCATTTTATCGGTTGAACTAAAAAAAAAACCGAGGTGGACTGGTAGCATAGCTAAAAAAACATTTGAAGGTCAAGTATAAATCTTCGACGGCATTGTCTAAATCTGCATAAACACCCAGCTACGTGACTTGGTACATGGCTATAGCTACGTATAAAAAATGACACAAGTGTTACGTAATTGGGTGAATAAAAAAGTTAAACTGAATGTGTTTTCGGGTTGTAAAAGCAATAGAATGGCAGGTATTGTTGTTTGCTTTTGGTAATAATCACTGTGTGTAAGGATATTATAGCTTTAAGAAGAACGATAATTTTATATAAGGGGCAGGAAATATGAAATTGGGTATTGCCTTATAGAGTTGACCTAAGATGTGTGTCAACCCCCCATTCTTGGCTGGTTCTAGGGTTTTCAATCCTCCGGCGAACTCTATCGTGGCACCACTTCAGACTTACTTTTCTTAAATCAATTGAACCTGCCTTTGTCACTATATTAATCTTTATTCGGTACATTCTCTTATTTCTCGATTTGTCATCATTCTGCCGAATGTTTTTTATGGTAAAATATTTGCAACAACTGTCGGCATCTTGTTCAACATGATGTTTTAATAACCTCAAAAAGCTGCACTGTCCTATATTCAATATTTGACGACATGTTTATTAGGACTCTGGTATAACCGATTTTCGTTGTATTTAATACAACATACAGGTTTACATCAAGAACGGTATTTAAAGCTGTGAAGTATATATATATATATATATATATATATATATATATATATATATATATATATATATATGCTGTTGACCATCAGGGTTTTAGTTTGAAAAATCTGAATATATGAGGTAAGATTTGTAAAGAGCAGTGCTGAGAATCAGGATGAGTGTAATTTGAACATATTCAGTTGAGTATTGTTATCAAAATATATTATGAAATACTTTAGTTGATTCGGTCTTATTTTAGGTCTTTTGGCACTTGTGGAACTGGCAGAACCTTCGCCTCCCGTATTTGTTGATGTTGAAGTCGATTCAAGTCGACTTTCGGCGCGCTCAAATGATGAGCCACTTTTAGTATCTAGCGTATATCGTGCTCCAGCCGGTGCCGGTGGGGTTCAGTCAGTGACAGTAATGGCGGGGTGCCAGGGCTACGTCGGTACGGTGCTTCTATCAGAAATGCGTTTAGATGCTGAGAGCAAAGGTGTCTCTATCGAAGGTGGCCCCTGCCAGGAGAGTCACGAGGAAGGAAGCAAAACGAAATCTAGAGATCGGAATCTTACCGTGTCAGCAAAGCCTGTGTACTTACTGGGTACGTGTGACTTTCTTTGATTACTAGAAGATTTGACCTTGGTAGTAGAAATTGTTTTTTTTTCTAGTTTATTGTTTCTCTGAAAATTGTTTCTATGAGATAACAATAAAGAGCAGTTGAATTGTAAATATGGTCTGGTGTCTCGCTTTATGCGAGTGCTAACAACGTTATTAGTTTTAGTCACGAGTTTAGGGGCTCATTTCAGAATGGTCATGTAAGTTGGCTTAAATCGGTAAACAACACGATGGCTTGGACGGCTAAACTCTGGCTGAAAAAAGCCAGAATGCAGTTGGTTAAAGCCTCGCTATTGGTATATAGGATGCAATAAGTGTGCTTAAATAAGGAACCAAACGACTTAAATTAGTAAGATAGTATCATTTGAAGAACACATGCATGAATGAGTATTCCAAATAAGAGCTTGCCAATACCAAATGTTCTAATTTATTTGTGCCTGTATTAATAACTAGAAATCCGATTTACTGCATTAGGCGAGCCGCACTCTGAAGGTTTCAGAGGTCTCCGTGATGACGTTTCATTGGTAACTCAGGTGTCGATGGATCGATTAGGTGTTCTAGAGCACACACTCGATCAGTGGGATACTCCTGTATCACTGGTCATCTACGCTCCACTTAAAGATGGAAGGCCTTCTGGTGACGATTGGCAACGCTTGTACATCTCCAAAAAGGTTAACTAGAGATATATATATGTGTATGCTGGCGATGCATTAGTATCAGCACACATTTCATATATATATATATATATATATATGTAATCCAACGTATTATATTTCCTAGGTCACGGCGTTTAAGTTGCATCCGTCTAGCGTGGTGAGTCTTGTCTACTCTGTAGATAAAGGGGAGCAGTACCCCATCAACGCTCTTAGAAACATCGCCATACGACAGGTACATAAAAGAATTGGTGTACTCGTTTCGGTAAATTCTATCTATGCATCATACTCGCTTTTGATTATCAGTCGAAAATTTATGCTTTTGTTATTTTTACCAACCTTCTTGTTAGACAATGCGCTTTTTCGTCATGGGCCAAAGGCTTAGCTCTAAGCGAAATGGCTCGACCCGTAGTACTATTCCATACGCCATACTTGTTCTATGAGATGCTGTGATAAACGGGGCGTACTTATAAATTCGAAGATTAACGTGCTTGTAACGAACGGTTCGTTGAATTAGGCACATTCACGCTTCCTGCTTCTCGCCGATGCAGATTTCCAGCCATCGCCTGACCTAGCTAGGCGAGTTCTTCCTTTAGCCCGTGACCGAAGCAGAATTTCATCGCGTGCGTCTATCATTGTCCCAGCTTTCGAGTACGCGGATGTTCCCCACAAAAGCGATGTAGTGGCTGCCAACAAGCAAGAACTTATGCAGCTTATACATGCGCAGGTATTAAGACAAATGTATTAGTGTTGTTTTAAAGCGGAGACTTAACATAGCTATTGGAATTCCAACGTCTGAAAACTGTAAATAAGTCACGAAGTGGTTCTGACGTCGATTCTTTTCACCGTGAATCTTTTACGTTTAAATTATTGTAGAACATAAGTGGCGCGCGTTTTACCAGTGTAGTTCGAACTAGTATTAAGAATTATAATCTAGGAATAAGAAACGTGTAATCTTTGCAGGGTTCTGCCAGTAATTTTGTGCTGACTTTTCTGTTTACGCAGAGGGTAGCAAATCTTACTTGTTTACATAGAAATCATGGATTTGTTTGTTCACTGTTATTACACACTGTTACACACTAATTTTTTACTGAGAACAGCACTGCACGTTTATCACAAGTGTGTGGATCGAATAAACGTTCCACTCACACTTTGATAATAAAAAAAAGTTGGGTAAAACAACTACAGGAGTAGATTTGGCTCTGTGTGTACTGCTTCAGAACGTTATGAGCACCCCTTAGGTGCCCCAAGATGGCTAGCTTTCGGTATTCGAGCTACATGTTCTATTGAGATTTTTGTTCATTACTGTCCTATAGGGTATTGTATCGCCTTTTCGCCGTAAGGAATCGCCACAGTCACACGCCGCAACAGATTACTGGCGGTGGTATACAGCCTCGGAGGCATACGAAGTAAAACCATCCTCTGATAAGTTTGAGCCATATCTGGTTGTCGAGAAAAATGCACATTTACCTCTCTACTGGGAGAAATTTACTGGTAGGTTCTGGACTGTAACTTATTACAGTATATTTGTGTGTCAACAAGTAATATTATAAAAAAACACTTTCACAGTTAAATGTCCATTTATAATAATAAATTAAGAAAATGAAATAGATTATTTCTGTTTATATGTATAAGCTCATCATAGAAAAATTTAGTCTTTCTATATATAAATAGTATCTGGTTTCACGTCAATGAGTGCATATGCTTCTACGTAGTCACAAAACTAGGTTTCTATAGATTTGTTTTAAAATTTATTTTTACTCGCACTCACTATTGTCGATTTTGTCAATACATTTCAGGTTATGGAATGAATAAAATAAGCCATATGTCTGAACTTCGCGTAGCAGGATACAAATTTTGGGTGGCACCGGACGTTTGGCTCATTCACGTACCTCACAGGTGTATACTAACGACAAAATCTCAAAAATCTTTTACTCAGACTTAAATATATTAAATACACAAGGACATTTTTTCTGCAGATATAGCAGCATAGAGTAATTGTATTTTATACACCATAGCTCTCAATCAATTTTTATTTAAAGATTATATTTAGTTGTAACAATAGAAAGAGCAGTTGAGCTGATTACTAACATAATACATAATCATATGAAAACACGAAGACAATTTTAAAGCAGAAATCATGCTTTCATTGCTTCACATCGCAGTTTTTGAAGCTTTACACGATTGACAGAACTACGTTATTATTAATAACTACATTATTTTAATAGTATTTGTTAGTTTCTTCTTTAGCTGGGCTTAATTGCAAGCTACTTTTGAGCATTCAGTAAATATACATTATAACAGCTATACTGCTTTATGCTGCTTTGTTGTGCTGTAAGCTATCTAAGTCAAATTATTATTTTTATTTCTACTATTTTTATTGTTATTTTCCTTTTCTTACAATTTTTATTTACATGTCGAATTGTAGGTATGTTACAAGAATTTGATAAATCTTGTTTAATTATTAGAATACATTTTCGTATTCTTACTAGGCATCTAATAAAATATTGTATTTTTGTTCTATCTCCAGGCTTTCAACGCATTTCGCTGATCATCTTCAAAATGCCACTTATCGACTAGCTAACAGAGCTCTACGCTTCGAATTTCTTCACTATCTTCGACGAAAATACCATCTTGATTGCAACGACGAGCGAGCTCTTTGATCACGCAATAGCTTGTGCAGACTTAGTTCTGAAGTTATATCCTCGAGTGTGCTACTCTTCAGCCCTTTTCAGGAAGAGGGTTTTTAACAGCAATAAGGCTGTATGGACAACTGAAGTTAAGATTCTCCTAAAAGTCCTAAAACAACTTCAAAGTAACATAGTCGTCATATAAAGAGGGATATACATACAAATATATCTCAAACAATACAATATGAACAAATTCCGCAAATAGTCTGGTCTTACTCCAGAAATATGTACCGCACCTAAGAGCCGCTATAAACTTTAGTGTCCTTCGACTTCTCTCAACTATATTTAGTCTGTAGGTGTTCGAGGATAAATATGAATAAGGACATCTAGGTATGCGGTAGCACTAGTAATTATGACAAAACTTCACCTGGGTACTATCGTTATGTAGGTAAACACGTGGATCATTAATTATTTCATGTCGGGGAACCTTGGGTAAACAAGAATCAATTATCTAATGTAATTTAACGATTTTCAACCTAAAATCGTCTCATAGCCACTGGTCTCTGATGAAAAACCGTTTTGAACAACACTTTTTCGTGAGGGTCGACGGTCAAGAGTATCAAGATGGGGACATTTCTTACAAACGGCTTTAGTGTACGATGAATTTACCATTACCGCAGTTACGTTGAGGATTGTTTGGACAAATTGTTCATTATTTGTCATTTACCGCTGATTCAAAAACGTATCTTTATCTCTGAAATTTCAGATGCAGATTAAGAAATGTACTTTTTTAACACGAGGTAATGCCGGCACATATAGTAGAAGTGCACGAGTACGATTTATGCAAGCTTTATTACTTATAGCGGGTTGTTTTTAGTAAGTCCAATCTTTAACCCCATCTCTTCGAATGCACCAGTTGATCATTTGTGTCTGGACAATTATATATAATATGTTCTTTGGCTTGAGCATGCTAGAGACAAATGAAACTAATACACAAACACTATTTTGAAAAGTGAAAACCTGAAGACGCTAAATTAGAGAAACTTTGGTGCTTGGACCTTGGTCCACAGACGCACCTATTTTTTATAAACTAGCTTCGATTGTTGAAACTCTTTTGAAAAAAAAAACGTGTGCAGTTTTTGTACAAAAAAAACTTCAACAATCATAGCTTAAAATTTCAAATAAAAAATCGGTCTTTTGTTCTAAGTCACTCTATTTTAAGGCGGTATAATTTCGTATTAAACTCATGAATGATTTGCTTGTATTTCTCACGTTGTTTGCTCTGATATGAAAGGTTGCAGCTAACACTAGTACAAGAAGTGGTTCTTTTAAAGCACAAAATTTTCAGGAAAACCTTGGTAAATAGAAAACTTGGTGTCTAACATATTTTTTGGTTAAAGAAGCTTATTCGGGCAAAAAATACTTAACGGTTAGGCAGAGCTTTTTTGCTAAAAAGGGTCCTCCACTTAAAAAATGTCTAGAAAAAAATCGTATTGCTGAGGTGGTTCCCTGGCCAAGGAAGAATTTTGCCTTGAGACCATTGTTTCGACAATGTGGTTAAGGAAGATCGGGTACCTAGAGAAGGTTTACTGGCTAAGAAGACCAATTAAAAAAAGATCAAACAAAGACCTCAGAGTGAGAAAGAGATTTAAAATTGTCCATAATGAAGACAAGTAGTTCACAATTACAAATAGATCTTTACTAAGACACGGCAAAACATAGGAGTCTCAGTGCCAATAGGCTCTAGCTTCATCAAAAAGTATTCGACGTATACCATTCAAGTGATAGCAGTAAGGAAGCAAAATCATTAGAAAGAACTTGACGTAAAGCTCGTGGGCTGAGCTGGGACAAAAAGTCGGTATAAAACTGCTATTGGCTTCTTTAAGCAACATTCACTTGAAATTTACTTATTGCATACTATTTTAAGTCACTACTAAATTTCAAGCCATTGAATAAGACAGAAGTGTAATTGTATCTTCGTTTGCTAACGAATTTGATTTCAGTATTCGCATTCTAAGTGTGTACAGCATGTCACTGTTACAAGTGACACTATCGTCACACAGAATTGGTAAATATACACTAAACCATGTTAGATTTTGAAAAATACAGATATGTCTCAATAAAGGTATAAGGGTGATACGCAAACAATGTATGCAGATATCAATTACAGTGCTGCGACATTCCTTTTTGTTGTTGATCTGTTTATAAGGTTGATTAACTCTTACAAATACAATTTGCGTACATTTTAATACGCAGCCTTTGCAATTGGGGTTTCCAGTTATTGTACAACTAAGTAATTCAATGTTAAGGAAGGGACACGTGGCTTCGTAGGTAAACGACAACGCATTTAAAATTGTCGCACCTGACCTGCATGTTATAGACTGCTACTCACATTGTAATCTTTAGTTTTTATATTTTATTAGAGATTTGTTATAGAGACTACGCATTGAAACGACATATTCGATGATGTGAAAGCATCGATATGCTAATCATGTCAATAAATAAGTAATAGCCAGCAAGAAACAGCACTATTTTTACAAAAAACTTTACTTGTTAAGTGTTGAATGGTAGCGACACTATGGAGTATTGTAGAGTAATAAACACATTTATTAACCAATATTATCATATGTTTTTTTAAATATAAACACTAATACATGGATGACATAGCTAATTGACCCCTCCGCTTCCCAATACATAAATAATATGCAAGCCTATCGTTCAGGCGGGATGAAAAATACGCTCCAATATCTAGTAAAGTAAAATGGCGGCAGTGTATTTTAGTAAATATAATAGTACAACTACTTTAACTGCGTAGAATTTGCTGCCTTCGTCATTATGTATTCCAACCGGAAGAGTCTGCTTCCGCCGATAAGCCAGCGGACTACTTGGGATGTCATCGTTGCATGTTTACCAGTGAATATAAGAGTTTACTCATTGCTTTTGATTCGTCAACAAATTAGCTACGTAGCTTGTCGACAACATAAGCGGATACTTTGGCATGATATTCACGATCTTCAGCATTTACAGCCAACTGAACGAAAATACGACCATGTAGAATTCGAACCAGATCTCTTGAAGGGCTTACCCTGAGCTTTGCTCTCGGCTATAGCTGCCAGCCGATATCACGATTAGTGCCTCTGCATATTTTCTTCAACCCGACCTCCCGCGAACACGTTTGCCCATCTGTAATGGTACCATGCGTAACCAGAGGCGCTTCGTTAAACGCATCGGTAACTTCTTATTCGCTATGGAGTTCTCCAAAATTCAGGTGCAATTTACGTAACATCAAATGGCAGCAGATAAAAAGGTCGACGTAAGGAATAGAAAGGCAACATAATCGAAAATCCTATTGAGTAATCCAAATGCTGTTTGCCAAATAAAATATCATTCAGAAGAAGCCACAGTGAAGAAGCCATAATGGGTTCGAGTTTACAAAGGACCTCAGTTTACCATTCGAGTTACTGGTTAGTTTCGATTCATCTAGAAACCTATTATTTGCTATTGGTTGTATCTGAGGTTTGCTCTACAAAGAAATAAATCCAAATAGCTTGCGAGTAAACCTATTAATCCAACGCAAGAAGTCCAGTTACTTCGATCAAGAAAGATAATTTATTGTAAAGAGGGTACCGTTATGCTCGTTAAATAATAAGATTCATTTATGATGAACGAACTCTGCGACTTAAACAAATACTTATTTGTCGTTTTCTATTAACTTGAAATTGAGTGTCAATCAAACACTACATATTTGTCTTCACCTTCGTCGAAAACGATAAAAGCGTTGAAAATAACTTTTTCCTCATCCATGCCTGCCATTTTGTAACCAAAAATTTACAGAGATTGCGCAAAGTTGATAACGCTCGTTACATCTCTGAGCATTTCTTCTACGTTGCAATTACAATACAGCCCATTTGACCAAAGGATGTTTTGATATTGCTTTTTGATAAGAAACCTAGGAAAAAAAATTATATATAAAACGTTGAAATGCTTCCTATATTTCTAAGTGACACTCATGACCACTCCTCTGGGTGAAAAAAAAAACCCTCGATATTACCATTGATCTAGCTTCTTCGAAGTCTTGTGCAAGATGGGGCCGTGCTGAACTTAACTGGCGTTTCGCAAAAAGAGCCTTTTTATAGTTAAGAGGAGAATGGTTATCAATAGATTTACGAAGCCGTAAAGTAACTATTTAAATGGCTCTTGTAACTGTTAGCTTTTTTGCTTTTCCTCTTTTTCGATAAAACCTTTGTCATCATGTGTCGCGTGTTGAAATTAACTAAATATTTTGAGCATCTCATCCGATCACCAATACCGAACGAAGCGTGTTCAAGCTCAGATTCGAACCCATACCGTCATCTTTTCCTCAGGTTTAGCAGACAAACATCATGGAAACAACAATGAGATACGAATCATGGCATACTCTTGGTTTCTCGTAGTTATTACGGAGACGCGCGAAAAGGTTCGCACATTAACCACTTAGACTACTGTAGAATATTGTGGAACTTGCCGAATAAATTCTTTGATAGTATCCCATTAAATTTATTTTAGAAGAAAGCCTTTCAAGTTCGCGTACCATGACTCTAGGCAGCCTTATTAAATTGGGGGGTGTAAACACTAGATAATTATCATCGATGCCGTACCATCCTTTTCCCAATCAATTGAAGCTAAGATTTCCTTAAACTCAGCTATCTGGTTCTGCGTAACCATGGCGGACATGTTAAAGTCGAATTTTAATCAACCGAGGAAGTCAGTTTTCCAACAGCTGAGGTCAGCTCTAAATCAGCAGCAGCAACTGTTGCTGCGGGGCTTGTCTCTTCAGTAGATGTACGGGCATCGTCGTTTAGATCTGAAACTTTAGCATTAATTATCAGCAGGGATTTGCTCGTAATTTACTAATCCGAGGAAGGTTAGCTAGAAGAAGGTTAAGATAAGATTACATTCAACGAATGATGGGTAAACAATGTTAGACCCTACATTTATCAGAGCTTTTTGACTTGTTTTGTAATTCCAAAGGAGATACGGTTAATTCTAAATAGTATGTACGTTTGGTTTAATGAATATTCCAGTTACACTTAATTTTCTAAACGCCTTCAAGAGAAATAATTTCGAGCCGTTAATAATTTTTGATAAATTTTTTCAATAAAAATAATTTTTGAAATATATTTGTACTCGACTGTGATTTGTGATCGTGTTCTTAAAATGGTTAGGAAATATCTGTCGCTCAATGGAAGGAATCTCTACTTATGCTCCAGAATGAAGCCGTTCGAGATTTTGTATTAAATGAAAGCATTCGTTTAGTTGGTCTTGTATAAAAGCAAATAAGACCTATTAAATTTAAGATCAATCGCCATTTCCTGTTTTCTTCTTACTCCCTACATAGACTTAGTGAGATTAAGGAGCACTTCGGAAATTAATTTCTAACGGCAATTAAGGCGTGTGTGGTAAGCCAAACAAAGGACTTTTGACCGTAGCTGATCGTAAGCCAAGAGTGCCTTGGCATGATGTATTTGTTGTAAAGCTTGAATCAGTAACCTTTGACTTGACAACCCAGTGCGCATATATTCTGTCAATATGCACCCTCTAATGTACATATACCTTATGAGAAACTTTTCAATAGTACATACTATTTTTTTATGATTGCTAACGTTACACAGTTAAGCTTGAGCACCAGCTACATATAACAGTTGAAAAGCAACTTCGTGTTTACATAGTAAATGAGACAAGCCGTTGTTACTAAATCTAATCTCTCTTCTTGTTTCTCGCCGAAAAAGCAGACGGGATTAGCAGTCTTAAAAAGAACGCCCGTTAAAGACAGGTCGAAGCGTCTTAGTTCAGTATGCAAAGCCAATCGTGTGCCAGTCGAGTCGTTTGAAGAGCGTTATCAATAGGTTCACCCTCTATTATAGAATCACAGCGCTTTCGAGCTACTTATGTTTGACTCTTTCTGTTGTCTTCAGAATCTGTTTTTTAGCTTTCTACATCAGTCAGGCTTAGTCACAGACACTCCGGAATTATCAGGTAAACTTTTTGTTGGCGTCCTGCACATATTTTACTACACAGAACACTGAATTTCACTGGATGTGGATAATAAAGAGAGCAGTTACTTAACAGGCTAGGAGGTAAATTTGTTGTCACTGCATTAGTTGTTGATAACAGAAGGTCAATTTTTCTAAGTAGAATTTATTTAGCTTTATGTTTATTAATGACACATGTGTGAATTCGTTGTTGAAGAGGTTTTTAGAATATTTAAAAATCGTGCGAAGTATATGGAAAATAATTATCTGTAGCTATCCGTATCAATTATCCGTAGTTTACACCGTATTCAATTATCAGGTAAAGAAGCGATATTGATCATCCCTCTGCACAGGTCACCTTTATGGACCAGCAATTTCATCGCCACTTCGGTAAATTGGCATTGTCAATGTCCTCATGTCACGATTTAAGTGATCAAAAGTTTACCTGACTTCTTCGGATTTTGTAATAAGATATAATCGGAGCACATGCGGCGATTCTTCTCTCTCTCTCTCCCTCTCTCTCTCTCTCTCTCTCTCTCTCTCTCTCTATATATATATATATATATATATATATATATATATATATATATATATATATATATATAGTTGAGTCAGGTCAGACCAAATAGCGCTCTAGAACCGTTGCCTTACAGAAAAATTATTTCCATTATTGATCAATGAAGAATTAATCACCTTAGTCTGACCTACAAGAATGGGAGGCTTTAGTTACCCCCATTGTCTTTCTTATGTCTTTGCTTCATTGAATTTTTTACTATATGGTAGTACAACTAATGCTGTTAATGTTTGTTCGTTGTTTCGTTTCCTCCACTGTTGCGTGGACACTCTCTTATTTATTGTGTCGTCTTTAGTATCGCTCTGTAAATCGGTTGACGATGACTTTGGAGGCTAGAGAGCAAAAGTGCCAATGGTATGTGCTCGAAAGAGGCTACTAGTTAGGGGACCAGTTGTAATAACAGCTTTTTCTTTCCTTTCCGTTCCACACGTCTTCGTTTTCATTTTTATCCTCTGTTCTACCAAAACTTGCTATTCGCTTATATGCAGCGTTAACTCTATTTCGACTAGAGGTCTATCAGTGGACCATTTCGTCTGGCATCGCGTGACCAAAGCGCGCAGTAGCATCGCGTTGATCTCGTCAACTCATTTCGTATTGTCCTTTACTCCCTCTACTGAACAGTAGCTCGCTGAACCAAACTCCTGTTAGCGGCCCCAACCGCTGTGTTGGTCTGTGTAACTCTACAGTGAGTCAGCAACTCAGTCGTTGCTAGCATTAGCGGCTGCTGCTGTCGGCCTAGGCTTCCTCAACATACGACCGAACAGGCTGGGCCTTATGGGCCTCACACATTGGAAGAAACGAGACTTACGTGAATTTCTACCCAATGAGCCAACAGGGCAGGCGGTTGGCGGCCATGCTTCCGAAATTGTACCTGGCTAGTATTCAGTTTATAAGGGTGATGCTTCGCGGCTATCAGACAACGCGCGGCTAAAAGCATCAGGCTAGGTCATTAATATCGAATGAGCCTTTGTTCACTTTTGATTTAAGTTTACTGGTTTAGAAAGTTCAATGCAAATCGCGACGTGTTGAATCGCTCATTTCTTATAGAGAAGCAAAATGTTAGCAGATATTTATTAAAGTAAAATTGGATGAACTGAAAACCCGCAGATAAACGGCGTGTACATACCGATAGCTTACATTTATTCGTACACATGTGTGAATTTTATTGTGTAATCTGTACATGTGCATTGTTTAATGAAGGGGCTAGGGAGCTGATAGGGATATTTGTTTACTTGCCGCTGGCGGTTTTCATTTTGTAATTTGTTAAACATTTCCGAACCGTTAAAACGAAAGGTCGAGAAGACATTTCCCGTAGGATTTCGAATAAAGCAGAACCATTTGAGAAAAATGAATGGCGCTCGATATTAACGTTAGAAGTGAATTAAGAAGTTCTAATGTGTTTCTGCATGACGCCGGCGCGTCCTTTTTATTTGGAAAGCTAGAACAACTTATAGACAACCGCCAACATGCGGTATTAAAGAAATACCGAAACAGATCATTTTTTTGAAGCTGGTTATAGTTAACATGTACCAGTATCTACATATTGATATATAGCATCAGAAGATCATCAGCTGAAGCTTATTCCTTCAATTCTTGTTTATAAAAATATTTGCAACACATTTTGAGCCCGTTAGCCCAGAACATGTACATAAATAATGCTATTCTGCCACTCGCTGCTAGGAGTTTAAATCGATTATTTGTTCCGTAAGGCTAACCTAATTGTTTTGTAGTTGAGTCACTCTATTCAGTACATGACACCTTTTAGATTTATTTAAAAACTGTAGTATAATGAAAACTTACTGCGTTCGAAGACTTATCAAAGATTTAAGATAAAAAAAAATTAATCAGAATAAACTAAATTTTTTATATTTGTAAAGTATATCGTGTTATGTAAGGGTGTTCTAGAAGCTTACGGACTAAAAAATTTTAACAGCTCCGAATTGATAACATTCAGTCGTCATAACTGTGAACCAGTGAGTAACGCAATCAAAACAAGCAAGAAATCTAAATAGATTTTAGTGATTTCATTGGTAGAAGAAAACAGCTAATTACCAACGCACTTATTCGTGGTAAGTGACTAAAATTAATAGAACTCCTCCATTTGTAAAAATAATTATAGGTCAAATAAATGAATATCTTTGATGGGCTATTGTGAAGAATTTCTGTGTATACCTTCAAATCATTAAAATATATGCAGGACACCTCGATAACTATAGCCCTAGATCAAGTTAAATAATTAAAAAACCAGTTTTGGTGTGCTCTTTCGATCTCCACTTTGCGACGTTATTTTGACGAACAACAACTTGACATAATAGCCAATGGATTTTATATAAATAATATATATAAATTTATCTTAAAGATAGGGATTAGATCAAACTCAGTCTAATGCTGTTGTTAAACGATACATAAAGCGGAAAACCATCAGGACTATATGTTTGTAGGTCGAAAAGACCCACATCGAATGCAAAACGCATTTTAAAGTTACCTGATATTATGCGAGCATGCGATCATCATGCGACTAGAGCGGTGCCTACTCGAGATTTGGCCTTTTTCTCAATGTTTCGCTTCGCAGTTCTTTTTCGATGTTGCAAATTTTTGTCCGTCTGAGCATAGATAGGAAAGACACTATCTCCGGTTGGCCAGACCAGACCAGGTGAGCTGCCCCTTCGTAGTGTGGACAGGTACTAAGCCTTGGTCTTGCCAAAGAAAGGACGCCTTTTAGGGTTTTTGAGTAGTTCAGGGTAGTCAGCCGCGAAGGGCGATTTGCTTCTATAGTTTACTGCACTCCCTGTAGCTATTATACTGCTCGTATGGTTGCCCCTGTGTCTTAGGAAGACCTAAGACGATCAGTAATACCAGTCAAGCAAAGCGTGGCAGTGTTTGACCGCTTCTCGTACTATGGGAAACTCAACAGCCTAACTCAAAACGATAGATCGCTGTAAAAAGAACTTAAAAGCATAGAGGCAAAACGACATCCGGTCCTACCTCGCTCGGAAAGAAGGTACTGTGAGTGTTTACGCTTCCTCTGCAACGGACAGGCCTAAAAATAAGGCAGCGTTCTCATTTTGTATTGAACAACCATGTGGCTGCAGACCATAGCTCGAAGCAGTCTAAGCACTGGCAAATTATAGACCAAAAGAATTGGCCGAGGCAGTACAAAAAGGTAAGGCTAATATAAATCTTCAAAAGCGCATTCTGACTGATTAAGATCTCAAGTTCGAATGAGTGATAATATTCCTTTCCATGGTCTACATAGCGGCGCTCGATATTTCTGAATTAATTTTCAAAAATTTAACCTTCGAACAACCAACAGTGTATCAACTATTGTTATAACTTAATAACTCAAACGATGCATTTTCCCTAGGAAGTAACACGAATATTGCCTCGAAATTCGTCACGATAAGAGAAATTCATTTTATGCAGGAGCAGAACCAGCGCTTTAAAAGTTGAATTAGCCGGTTTTTGGTAAAGTTGTTATACCTAATTATTGCAATTATAACACTTTTAAAAATATTTATCGTTCTAGTAGAGGTTTATCCCATTCATTGTATGAACGGAAACATGTGAAGCGTCTTTAACCAGCAAATATGAATATAACAAGCTACGTCATCGTGTTCAAATTTAGATTAGAAATGTATGCAATGGGTTGCTTTACCGACCATCACCTTGCCTTTGACCGCTATTTCAGCTGGAAAAGATCGTGCAAAGATAACGTTTTATATCGGAGTTGACTTGTGGTACTTGACATTCGAATATCGAATAGATAAACATGGTAGATCTAAGACATTTGGATAGATTTGTCAAAACTCGTTAAATTGAGGTGTTAATGTTTAATTTTGGAAAAAGAAACCGGTGTTAGACTGTTGAGACAATGCTAAAAATTGTACGTTACGAAACGCATACCAAGCTCCTTGGGAGTACCCAGATAAAGATAAATAAGGTAGGAAAGTGGCGCCTTAAATCTAAATTTCATTTTTAGTATTGATTTGGCAAGCAAGATACGACCGATTTCTGACTCGGCAAGGCCTTAGTCGCTATGTCCTTACAGCCACATAACCGCGCTGTTCACTATTCACAACACATTTCATTAAGAGCTTTTGTTAGTACCACCTTAAGATAAAGACGCTCGTCTAATAATCTCATCAAAATTTTTGAAATCTTTCACAGATTTTTTTAACCAAAGGTATTTGGGCAAAAGACCTCAAACGGTCTTCTTTTTTCTGTAACACGTGAAAGTGTACAACGGCAGCATAGACATGTGTACACCACGTAAAGATGTCATGCAACCGCTTAACCTTTTGCTCAAAAGCGTTTTGAAAAATTTGATCACTATAATTTTGGCAAGTTACGTTTGACAGAACATCCAGGGTCGTTCGCAGTCTTGATGTGGCCATTTTAGCAACGAGAGGATTCTAACAGGGCGTCTCATCGACAACATGTGTCACAACGTGTCATAGTAGCATGTTTTGTGAAGATTCGAAGATAACCACAATACGGGGGACGACGACGTCTGCGTGTGTCCGATTACAGTAGCTTATTCAGCACCTCTTACGGATATCTATGGTGCAGCTGCCGTTTGTGGAGAAAGTTGCCATCGTTTATGCCTCGGAGGACTCAGATTGAGAGGGAAGCCTAGACTGGAATCAATGGAAAGGAGAGATCCACAAAGGAACACGGCGCCACGTTCAATGGTTGCATGACTGATCAGTCTTAACAACATATCAATGTCATTCCTGAAGACGAGCGGGGCTAGCTTTGTTGTAAACAATTTTAGCTACGTCGAAATAGCTTAGTTCTCTATTTTGCGAATGATAAGAGATTCGATTCGAGGTGCCCGTTCTCAACACGTGGAGCCTCAGCCGTTGCTAAAGAATGCCTGGAGCTAATTTTAGCATAGAAAACTTACTTAACGTTATGTCAAAAAATAATAATACGATTCAGATACGTCACCGACACTTGCTTGCTGAAGAACGAAGCAGACTCACCATCCGGAATTCACTAAGTTAAATACATTATTTTATTTCCGCAAATTACTTCAAACTACTTAGGTGGGCCACTCGTATTATTAGCTAGAGAGGCATTGCGGTTCATACAGCTTGAGTTATTTTTAGGCAAATAATCCGTGGTCAGATTGAAGCAACAAATCAGCTGTTGTGGCTCTAACTACCTGCTGCGCATCATACCTGTTTTTTTTCTTTTTTTTTTTTTATTATACAGGTCCCATCAAGGCGGCACCCTACATTGACACATTTTCGATTTTGTAAGTCCTACAGGCGACCACCTTATATGGCCCGCGTCAAAAAAATGAATGAAAGACGATTATGTATATGAACGAACTATACCTTGTATAAAATGTCGCGGATCTTCATTTTTTTTATTTTTAAAATAGGCAAACTATTACTCTTAAATGCAATGACACTAAACTTTTTTCAAATCAAAAGCTCAGCTTTTTTTTAACGGCTATGAGCTTTAAGTTACACCACGATCCATAGCTTTTATGAATAAAAATCCTTAGAGATTACGTTTTTAGTAAGAAATTTGACTCATCTCATGTCGAAGAAACGAGCCATACTCTCTCAGAAACCTGTAAAGCAGTCTAATCAAACTAAGGTGGCTCTACTATGATTTTTATTCGAATTGTTGTTAACTTTTTTAACCAGTTTTTTAGTCCTTGTTCATCACTACGTTATCTGCCCATGTAGCTCTTTGCCCACCGTTTGCTGCGACGGTCATTTTCAATGATGTATATCATCAGTATTCTACTCTCGAAATTTCCCATTAAAAATATTTTTCTATAAGGGCTTTTGGGAAGCTGCTGACGACGAAATCTCTAGCTGTCCGATAACAGTCACATTTTGTAATCATTTTTTTATAGCGTTTTACATGTTATCGGTGCGTGACGGACGAATTTTGCAATGGAATAGGAATCGTTACTTAGCTGCCAAGGGGGCACTATGCGGTCAGAAATCGCAGTATGGCAGGATAGTATTTGCCACTAATCAATGATTTAAATTTATTGAAAGATATCAAACGCTAACCAGCGAAACAAACATTGACCCGGAAAAACTGGTTGACGTGAAGTAACCGCCAAAGAATAACAGAGAATAGTGCTTTAGCATGGAAATCGGTCGGAAAAGCTCATCGTGCTTTCCCGAAAATAAGGTCTCGAAAAAAATGCTATCTAATAATAATAAAAAATATAATAAAGATAAATATGATGGCTAAATCATAAAAATAGATGATTTTCGGCAAGCCACACGGTGCCGCGACCGCGGCAGGTTACGAGTTTCCAGCCATAGGGCAGGAAATCTTGACACATATGAAGTTATTTAGCTTTGATGTTTCCGATGCTCCAAGACATAGCTTAGTGCATAGAGTGGACCAAATTTTACATTGCATATCGCCGAAAAGGAACTGCTTAGAACGGGTTCGACAAACGCGTAGGTGTACATTCCTTGTATAACTTAAACTGCATCAACCTACTGTATAATTTGAAGAAAAATGTAGATGTAACATTTGTCTCGGCTTGTACGAGCAATTGAAAAGTCATTATTTCTATCTATACCGGATTTTAGAAATAAGTGATTATTAGCTTCGTTGCTCATACCTATGCTTTGTTTACTTTCGTTTACCTTGTGTATCTTCTGTCCACCTCCTCCCTTGTCAAACGTATATGGAAAACTGTAGTCAATCGGTCATCAAGTTCAACATTATGTGAATATGAATACGTACAATATTTAGCTGTAGTAGTGAATAGTTTAAACATTTTTAGAAATTGAGCCGATTGAATTGGACCCTAACACAGGCCTAAAACCCAACCGTAGCGTAGCAGAGTTTTACAGTGCGCTATAGCCAAAAGCCGAGAAACAGGATGCTCTACACGCTACTGGCCATCTAAAGTGTTTTCGACGAAAAAGATGTTTCCTTCTCCGCTGATGATCTGGCGCCGGCGCGTGTGATCATGTGGTGAAACTCTCCTAACCGGCGCAGAACTGCGACGTAGTGGCCTCGAAACGAAGGCCTCGAGAATACAATGCTTCGCAATGTTCGTTCCGTGTGAAAAGCTTTTTTAGATCTGAACCTAGTGGATACTATTGAAAAATATACTGACTGTAGCGGTACAGCTAAACTATACTAGAGAGGTGAGTTATCTTCTTATTTTAGAAGATACGTTATCCGTTGTAGTAACCGCGTAGATGCAGCCATCGCTAGTTCAAATTTTAGCGTTGACAAGCAATTGTCATGACATCTGGTTACTACGCTGTTTGCTTACTTACCATGACACATATCGTTTTATTTATCTGTTGGAGAAACCACAGATCAGGCCAGCAAGGCCTTTACCACCTTCACCTATAGCAGGAACAATGTTATATCGTATATTTGATTAGTACGACCTGTCTGCACAGCAGTACTAGTCAACCGCGTTAAAAATGGTGAAATATATTAAACAGAAGTTGAATTTTAATTCGGACGTTTTCGGACGTCCAACATTACTGTCGAGCCGGCGCCCAGCAGACAGACATAAGTGAAATAACGTCTGTATTGCGTTTAATGTCATCTTGCTGTTACAATATGTCCAGATGTAAAAACTGTGCTCTGAACGCATATCTATGGTCAGCATGTTAAAGTATCTAATAAAAAATATATTTATTTGGCCTTCACGTAACATTTGGGAATTACATAGAGACTGTCCGCATTT